TCTCTTTAGGAAAGCTTATGGCCTCCAAGACTAACCCCTACCTCACATACCCGTCTCTTGCCCTCTCCTAAAGGGCAGCCCACCTTATTTGATTGCAAATTCCTGTCCTAATGTGTTTTTCACCCCACCTCCTATTGAATGTAAGCTCGATTGAGCAGGGTCCTCTTCAACCTATTGTTCCTGTAAGTTTATTTGTAATTGTCCTATTTATAGTTAAATCCCCTCTCATAATATTGTAAAGCGCTACGGAATCTGTTGGCGCTATATAAATGGCAATAATAATAATAATAATAATAATTCATATGTAATTATATTAATATTAAAATACACTACGTATGATGTTACATATATATAAGATGTGTGCGTGTGTATATATATATATATATATATATATATTACACATTTAATTTATTTTACATGTTTAATAATATTTTCTTTTACACTACCCACTGTCTAACAGCCCAGACACTCCCCCTGCTGGCAGATCCACAGACAGCTATTGCGGCCATGTAATTGCGGAGCTCCTGGGGTAGAAAGCCTTTACGACGATCTATGCCGCTGCAACGGCTTTAAAGCCCATTCTAATGGGTACGGCATAGAACGCCGTAACGGTAAGGTGTTAAAAGAACATTCTAAGCAACTACAAAATTTTTACTAGCCTAATGAAATGGTTTTGGTGTATAGATTACCTTCCTGCAGTTAAAATGATAAATTCTCTTCCATTTAGAAGTTAAATCACTTAAGTCACATCTCCCCTCACTCAACCACCATACACATGTCCTCAAAGAAAACTCCAATTTCTTAAAGAGACACTGAAGGCACCCAGAACACTTCAGCTCATTGAAGTGGCCTGGGTGCAATGCATAGGTGTGCGCACAGGGTGTGCCGGGTGTGCCTGGGCACAAGCTGATCCCCTCGGTCTGCACATGGATCGAGGCCGGCAGGGGAGATCACAGGATCTACCCTGTCGGCAGGGACGTGTCTTCCACGAAGCAAACAAGGCATTTGCCTTGGGCGGCACTTTGCAGGGGGCGGCGGGCAGCGAGGGAGCATACTCACCTGAGCTCTTCCTGCTCAGCTCCCTCCGCGCCGCTTAATGAAGTCGGGAGCCGGAATATGACGTCACTCCGGGTCCCAGCATCACTAAGCGGCGTGCAAGGGAGCTGAGCAGGAAGAAAGCTCCCTCGCCGCCTACTCTGCCTGTCACCCCCCTGCCTGCCCGACCAGCAGTCCCACTGGACTGCAGGTAAGCAATCCACTCCAGCTCTCCCAGGGTGCCTGGGTGGATTTAAAATAAAATTAAAAAAATAATTTGTGAGTGTTGGGAGAAATGTGTATGTGTGTCTGTAAGTGTGTATGTGTGTCTGTAAGTGTTTGAGTGAATGTGTCGGTCAGTGAGTGCGTCTGTCAGTGATTGTGTGCATCTGTCAGTGAGTGCGTGCGTCTGTCAGTGTGTGTCCAAGTAATAGTGTGTGTATGTCATTGTTTGTCATTGCCACGCATGCACATTAGGTCTCCCCCACGGGCCTAACCCAGCGCCAAGGGACATCGGCTCTGGATCCAGGTAAGTGACATTGCAGCGCAGCAGGAGGGCATTGTAGGATTCTACAGTGACAGGGTTTGTTTTGCTGGCACTATAGAATCCCTTTAACTTACTTTATTGCACAGTGTTTAATTTAGATTTTCTTATTTCCTGCTGTTAATTGCCTCCTAGCAGTGGCGTACTAAGGGGGTGGCGGTCTACCCTGGGTGCCATCAGGTAGGGGGGTGCCACCAGGGCTGGAGTTCTGTGAGCTGTGTGGCTGCACTGGGTGCCATAGCAGCATGGGCGCCGGGCAGCCGACACAGCTCACACGCAGGAGCTGGCTGCACAGAGATTTGGGGGCGGAGCTAGAACAGCCGTGGGATGGGGCCAATCTGGGTGTGGAGGCGGAGCTAAATGCAGCCTCATACTGCTCACACAGAGAGGAAGCAGGAAGGAGTCCCTGCTTCCCCAACTACAGCACAGCAGGGACTGAATCCACTCCTCCTCCAGCCAAAGCTTACTGTAAGTGAGAGAGTGTGTGCTGTGTGTAACTGTGATTGTGACTGTCTTTGACTGTGTGTGTGATTGTCTGCCTGTGTGTGTGACTGCCTGTGATTGTCTGTGTGACCGTGTGTGTGATTGTCTGCCTGTGATTGTCTGCCTGTGTGTGTGTGTGTGTGTGTGTGTGACTGTCTGCCTGTGATTGATGGTGTGTTTGTGAGTGACTGTCTGTGACTGTGTGTGTGTGACTGTCTGACTGATTGTGTGTGTGTGACTGTCTGTGATTGTGGTGTGTGTATGTGTGACTGTCTGTCATTGATTGTGTGTGTCACTGTGTGTGTGACTGTCTGCCTGTGATTGTCTGTGTGACTGTGTGTGATTGTCTGCCTGTGATTGTCTGTGTGATTGTCTGCCTGTGTGTGTGTGTGTGTGTGTGACTGTCTGCCTGTAATTGAGGGTGTGTGTGTGAGTGACTGTCTCTGACTGTGTGTGTGTGTGACTGTCTGTCTCTGATTGTGTGTGTGTGTGACTGTCTGTGATTGTGTTGTGTGTATGTGTGACTGTCTGTCATTGATTGTGTGTATCACTGTGTGTGTGTGACTGTCTGCCTGTGATTGTCTGTGTGACTCTATGTGTGTGTGTGACTGTCTGCCTGTGATTGTGGGTGTGTGTGTGAGTGACAGTCTGTGACTGTGTGTGTGTGTGTAACTGTCTGCCTGTGATTGTGTGTGTGACTGTGTTGTGTATATGTGTGACTGTCTGCCTGTGATTGTGTGTGTGACTGTCTGTGAATCTGTGTGTATGTGTGACTGTCTGCCTGTGTGATTGCCTCCGTGTTTGACTCACTGCCTGTAACTGTGTGTGAGTGACTGTGTGTGGGACTGTGTCTGACGGTCTTTGCCATGCAGTGAGCCGGCAGCCAGGATATGATGTAATGGTGGCCTCTGCGTCATTACAGGGCGTGCGATGGACCTGTGCAGAAAGAGCACAGAGATCCCAGCATCAACCACTGACCACTAGAGACTGAGGATCCACTCCAGCCCTTCTAGAGCTAGGTAGAGAGGCTGGGTGGACCTCTTAATTATTAAATGTGTGTAGGTATGTAATGTTTGTGTGTGTCTGTGGTTGTATGTGTGTGGGTCAGTGATTGTGTTTGTGTATATCTGTGATTATGTGTGTGATTGTGTGTATATCTGCGTATGTGTTTAGTAGATAGCTCCCTTATTTCTTGTCCTTAAATATTGCAATCCCACATAAGGATAACAAATAAGGGATTTATCTACTAAACAACTGAAAATAAGAAAATGGCGTTTTTTTATCCTTTAGCTGTTTAGTAGATCATTCCCTGAAATGGTGCCCGTATGTGAGATTTCCATATTTAAAGATACCAAATGAGGGTGCTGTTTAGCAGATAGCACCTTATTTGGTGTCCTTCAATATGGCAATCCCACAAAGGATAGCAAATAGAGGAGTTATCTGCTAAACAAAGATTGAAATTAAGAGGTGTCAGCCAGCCCACAACAAGAAATCTGGGTGGCTAATGTGAATTATATGCAAATGTCTAGTCAGATGCCAGCATGCAGAACACAGCATGCTGGCATCAGACAGCCAATGGCAGCATATTACCCCATCCCCTAGTGAGAAGTTTTACTGCTCCCCCTCCCCCTCCTGTTTTGACTTTGGTATCTTATGTGCCCCCCATATATATTGTTCTTAGAGTCGCCTGTGTGTCAATGTGTATCTGTGTGTGACTGTGTTTGTGTATGTGTATATGTGCAGACATCTAAAAATCTCGCCAACACTACACACAAATACACTCATGCATTTCAACGTCAACACTACATACAAACCCCACCATTATATATAACCATACCACTGCATTCAAATACCACACAACACACAAATGCATGCTTGCATTCAAACGCCAACACTACATACAAACACACCGCTACATTCACTCACATATACTCCATACAAAAACATGCATACATTCAAACACACAAACACTGCTAAGTGCTAAATACATTAAAAAAATGTTTGGTTGTTTTTATATTTAAAGTTGAGGGGGGGGGGAGGGTAAGTGGGGGTGCCAAAAATAGGACCTGCCCCGGGTGCCAAATGCTCTAGGTACGCCCCTGCCTCCTAGAGTATACAGTGGCCTCCTGCATGTTTACTGTGTGATCAAGAATTAAGGTGACTTGTGTTTCTGCCTGGTGGCTTGTAAGATTTCTTGGTATTGTACCATTGTATTATTGTTTGCCTCTACTTCTGTTATTTTGGTCTTTGTTTGTTACTAAGAGTTTTTGTACATAATAAAGTCGGATTATATTTACTGTTTGAAGTTGTTATAGTGTGCATTCTATATTATATAGAAATCTGGATATTTAAACATTTAAGGGAGTGTTGATATGTTTTGCACCTGGCTATTTAAATATAATTGTGTCTCTCCATGTGATTTTGGTTTTTGAACTAAGAGAACATCTAAAGTAAACACACTGTGCTGCACAAATTACAATTTTTCTCATGGAGGTTGATGGTTTCTGTCTAATCCAATGCTTCAAATGGCACAGCATTGTAGGTCATAGGGTGCACACTCACAATCGCATCAGCAAGTTATGTTTGATAATGCCTAAGGTATGTTTATCTTGAACAACCACTGATGCATGTTCTCATTGAAATGTAAAAATAAATTGTACTACACTGCCAGAGAAAGAGAACGGCATCAATACATTAAAAACACATCCAGATACAATAGTTTTGGTGCTTTCTGTTAGATATATAACTCAGTTGATTATATAGTTGCAGTGAAGTTGTATAAAGACCATGCAAATCACATTTCAAATATGTGAATAATTAATGTTCTCTGCAACGTGATGTCATTATTTTCCTGCATAAAATTAATCTGTTCCTTACAACAGACCAATATCACTCATATACAGAGATATGTTATGTTTTCCTTGGTCCATTGGTCGCAATGGAGGAGGTCAGTATTTCTACAATACTCCATGTTTGTGCACCCATAGACAGCATGCCACAATGCCAGTCACGTGACTCCAAACAAACTCCCACCACGTGATCGGTCACTTCCGCTTTCTGCTAAGTCGAGGCTTGGAACGCAGCGCCATTTCCTCCCACTCGTTGTAAACTTCCGGTTGACAGGACAGTTGTTTACGTTTGTAGGCTTCGGCTCCTCTGTCCTGATAAACGCCATGGCGGCTCCATCTATGGAGACAGGTAACGTGTCTGAGTTCTCAGTATCTTTATGGCTGTGCTTGGGAATGAAGGTTTGAGTTCTCCATTTAAAACTCTGTGTGGCAGTAAGAGCAATGTGGTCCTCCCCTTCCCGGTAACAGTAGGACACACAAGCAGGAGTTACAATATAAAGGTTTTTATGTCAAAATTACCACGCTGTAACTGCAGCTCACTTAGGGAATTTATTTTACAAAATACGCTATTTTTTGCCTACATTTTTTTGGATTTTAGTTTTCCTCAGTTAATGAAACAGTCCAAGCAAGGTAACCACTAAAGCCTGCTGTTGTGGTTATGGTGCCAGGAGTGCCCTGGCTACATCCCTGCAAGTATTCAAAACCACTTCCTATAATGTGATAACTTACCTGGGTTGTGCAGGTTTATCCTGCAAGAGATTCCAGCTTGCTGTACATAGCTGAGCATTGCCATGCAGAACTGCGATCATCACAGTCGCTGTACTTTACTGTATAGAGCTATCCTGCTTATCCTGTAGAAGAAGACCGAATGCAATGTGAGGACACAGGTAAGATGACAAACTGTATGAAAATTAAAGGGACACTGTAGGCACCCAGACCACTTCCACTCATTGAAGTGGTCTGGGTGCAAACGTCCATCACACCTTGAGCAGGTAATTATCACAGTTTTTATGAACTGCAATAATTACCTCTGAGGGTTAACGCCTCCTCTAGGGGCTGTCTCCAAGACAGCCACTAGAGGGACTTCTGGAATTGAAACGTACCTTTGATCCGTTATTTGACACTGGACGTCCTCACACTCTGCATGAGTACTTCCAGCGTCAGATTTTTCCCCATAAGAAAGCAGTGAATAATGCTTTCCCGTGGGGAAATCCTAATGCGAGTGCAGCCGTTGCCGCGCAGACACATTAGGTCTCCTCCGCCGGCGAACGTCGATGGGGGAGGAGTGTGGGCGGTGGACCAAGGCAAGTGACTGAAGGAGTTATTAAAGGAACACTATAGTAACCTAAATTACTTTAGCTAAATAAAGCAGTTTTAGTGTATAGATCATTCCCCTGCAATTTCACTGCTCAATTTACTGTCATTTAGGAGTTAAATCACTGTTTCTGTTTATGCAGCCCTAGCCACACCTCCCCTGGCTATGATTGACAGAGCCTGCATGAAAAAAAAACTGGTTTCACTTTCAAACAGATGTAATTTACCTTAAATAATTGTATCTCAATCTCTAAATTGAACTTTAATCACATACAGGAGGCTCTTGCAGGGTCTAGCAAGCTATTAACATAGCAGGGGATAAGAAAATCTTAATTAAACAGAACTTGCAATAAAGAAAGCCTAAATAGGGCTCTCTTTACAGGAAGTGTTTATGGAAGGCTGTGCAAGTCACATGCAGGGAGGTGTGACTAGGGTTCATAAACAAAGGGATTTAACTCCTAAATGGCAGAGGATTGAGCAGTGAGGCTGCAGGGGCATGTTCTATACACCAAAACTGCTTCATTAAGCTAAAGTTGTTCAGGTGACTGTATTGTCCCTTTAACCCCTTCAGTGTCGCAGGAGGAGGCATTGACAGAGAGGAAAGCTATAGTGCCAGGAAAACTAGTCTGTTTTCATGGCACTATAGTTTACCTTTAAATTACTGCTTACTTTGTGAGGATCCAGGGGTTTTATTGAACCACAGCCAATAAAGCGACCGTTAGTAGTTATAGTGCTTGGGGTGTCTTTTATTTTTTTTATTTTTCGGCCTTTGGGTTTGTGTAGTATTATCATAAAGTTAACTACCAAAAACATATTTAGATCCTAGACATATGAGGCATTGAACCCTCAGCTTTTTAACTTTTAATTCATACTTAAAAGACCACTAAATGCACCCATTTATGTGTGCAGTGGTTGTTTATTTTTAACCCTGCTATCTAAACAATAGGTGTTTAGTAGACACGGCACTATTATGCTTGAAGGGTTACACACAGCTCTAGTGGCTGTCTTCCTGATAGCTACTAGAGGGTGTTTCTGCCAATACCTAAATCATACTTGGTTAATCAATAACATGCTGCTTGTAGATGACATTTGATTGTCAAGGCCTTTTGCCATGCATGCACACTAGTTTCCCAATGCTTTCATACTGGAAACCATAGGATTGTCGAAGATCATAAATGTTGATGATCTCAGCCAGAGAGGTGGGATGACTGGAGAGAGACCAGCGTGACGAGGGAGTAACAGTAACTAAAAAAAACTACCTTTTATAAAGAGATTCTCCAGTGCCAGGAAAACAAACCCGTTTTCCTGGCACTAGAGAATCCTGGAGTGCCCCCTCCCGCCTGCCCCCATTGCACATAGGTGAAAGGGTTAAAACCCCTTCAGACACTTACCTGACCCAGCGCAGAATCCCTCGGCGCTGGGTCAGGCTCTGCCCATGCTCCTCCCCGCCAACATCCGCCGGTGTGGGAGACCTAATGTGCATTTTTTGGCTTTTTTCTTTTCTTTTTTGTTTATAATTAATGAGAATGTATCTATGTAAATATGACATCAAATTAAAGCCCTCTTTGCCCTCTAAAAAACGGTATTTAATATGTTTTGGTGCAATAAATGACAGAGATGCAAAACGCGTTTGAACACAAACAGCAAAAGATGCAAAAATGGCTTGTGTCCTTAAGGGTAAGACAAGCTTTTGAAGCTGTATCCTTAAGGGGTTAAGACGTTACCTTTTTGTATTGTGGTTTTTACAATGTGTTTCCTTTTTCCCCCCTTTCTTTTTCCAATTTGTAATTACCTTGTAAATTTAATTAGTTTTTACTAATTTAGTGGATAGTTCCCTTTTGATTTATTGAACATCCACTCTTTGGTTATTTGCCATTAACTGTTTGTTTGGTTTTTGTTTTTATTTACAGATGAGCAAGCCCGGATTCGATTCCAGTTGGAGTTGGAGTTTGTACAGTGTTTGGCAAACCCTAATTATCTTAACTGTGAGTAATTGTTAACACTAATATGTTTTTTTTTCTAATTAGAAAATATTTTTCCTCACATCAGTAGGTGTAATTTCCTTTTCATGCCCAACCCATTCTACCTTTATTTATTATTTTTGTGGGGGGTAAGTTGGTATAGTACATTTAATAGTAAAACGGTTTCTTTAAGCAACATAACCACTACAGTAATGATTTGAGTAGTACTGTGGCCCTGTTTTCCAGTATTGAGGCAAACTGTTTTCCGAACAGTTTACTTTCTTATCTTAACTTTAGCCTGCAAGGGGTTAAAAACCCCTTCTGTCACTTACCTGAGTCCAGCTCTAATTTCACATGGCGCTGGGTTTCACCATAGGATTTCCCCTTATGTCACATTACCATTTTTCCATATGTCCATGCAGAGCATGAGGACATCCAGCGTCAGTTAGGTGACCAAAAGTTACCTAATGACCCGTAAGTCCCTCTAGTGGCTGTCTGGTAGACCAGGGCTCAACAAATCCCAGGTGCTCTGGCGTTTGAAATTTGTCAGCTCTTTAGCTAAAGCGGACGGCTAGAGGAAAAATGGAGCTGGCTGACTGATGCAGCACGTGAGGGAGCAGTAAACTTCCTGCAGTTTCTCTCTGCTCCCTTGCGTTGTTTAATGGTGCCGGGATATGATGTCACTACAGAGATCGTGCAGGGGAGCATAGAGGACCTGCAAGATTAGAGAGCAGCTCCCTGGACCTCAGGGATAGATCCACTCAGCTCTCTCAAAGGTAGGGAGGCTGAGTGGATTTATATTAAAAATGTAAATTTGTGTGTGTATCAGAGAGTGCATCTGTCATAGAGTTTGTCCGATCACATGAGAAAGGTGTTGTACTCGCTGCGGCTGGTCCCACCTCGATGGCTGAGATCGTCAACCTTTATGATCTCAGCTAAGCCAACCATAGGAAAGCATTGGGGGATATTGTGCATGTTCTCTATGGGTAACATACAGCATCTCCATGGAGACACTGAACATAAAACTCTCTAGTGGCCATCTCTGAAACGGCAGTGTTTACATTGAAAAGGGTACAGGGACAGGCTATAGACACCAGAACTATTACATTAATCTGTAGTGGTTCTGGTGACTATAGTGTCATTTTAAGAATTGCATATTTCCCATTGAAAATTAAACTTTGTTAGTTACAAAAAAAACAAAACTGGCTCCTAGATTCCAAACAAACTTAAGTCCTGTGCTAGACCGCCACTAGAAGCAGAGTTTTCTGCCGTCACATTCTATGTTTCTATCAGTAAAGGAGTTTAAGCATGCCTGGGATAGGCATAAGGCTATCCTAACTATAAGATACTTTTATTTTCTTTCAAAAAAAACAAAAAAAATATTTAGAAAATTGGGCAGACTAGATGGGCCGAATTGTTCTTATCTGCCGTCACATTCTATGTTTCTATCAGTTAACCCTCAAAGGTAATTATTGCAGATCATTAAAAACTGAAATTATTACGTTTACCTGGTTACAGGACTTGGAACTATGCACCCAGACCACATCAATGACCTGAAGTGGTCTGCGTGCCTATAGTGTCCCTTTAATGACTCCCCAACAATGCTGCTATACAGACTCTGGGTACCATGATCAGTTCAAATCACTGTACATGTTGACTGGAGAAACCATTACTCTGATTTGTATGGCTTTGTCAGTCTTTTGAAAATGTAATAAATCAACTATTTAATGGTAAATCAGCGGTTGCTCAACTGACTTACTCAACCAATGAATGTCATCCAAACTTGGATGAAATTGATACTGCTTTTATGGAGGTGTAACTTTCCCAATAACCTTAAGTAAAATTTTGTGTGAGGGCTCTGCCACAAGCATGCAGGGAAGTGGTTTGACATAGAATGCACGTGTCTTGAGGCATGCTGGTGCCATCACCTACACATTACAGTGAAAACGATTGAGTGCCCTTCAGGTTTCACTGATGCTTGTGATCTTGTTTTGGTAAGGAATTGACACTCCACAGTTTTAAAGTGCCATCTGGTGGTTTGTTTAATTATAGTCTTGTTTCCTTTTTCCATAGTTCTAGCACAAAGAGGATACTTTAAAGACAAGGCATTTGTGAATTATCTGAAATATCTACTGTATTGGAAGGATCCAGAATATGCTAAATTTTTGAAGTAAGTACAGGACTATTTCTGTAACCTATTTAAACTGATTGTGCCCCATTTATATCTTACCAATTATTTTCTTAATTAGTTTGCATGTTTGTTTTTTTCCCCAAGTATGATGTGTTAAATCCAAGAAAAGCACTTCCACTTTTTAAAGGTTTACCTTCATTATGCATATATTCCTACAAATAGTTTTCCATGTCTAAAGTCGGTAATGTTAGCTGAAGGAAACAAACTAACCATTTGCAATCACGGTGGTATTTTATTTGACTTTTTGGTGTTTTCAGCCAATGGCAATTATTATTATCGCCATTTATATAGCGTCAACAGATTCCGTAGCGCTTTACAATATTATTAGAGGGGGGGATTTAAATATAAATAGGATAACTACAAGAAAATGTACAGAAACGATAGCTTGAAGAGGACCCTGCTCAAACGAGCTTAGAGTCTATAGGACGAGCAATCCAGCTAAGATTTGAATTTTTGTCAATGACCAGAATGTATGCTGTCTGCTTAAATATGCTCTCTTTAACATGACCGTTTGTTGCAGCAATACTGTATAAGGTTCGGACCATGTCTTGCCTCATTGTTAGTGCTGCTTTCACCATTAGTTGTAGATTATGCCAGCTTTGGTGTACCTATAATCTTAAGGAGGTGAATATTTGCTTAAGTCTCTCTTTACTAGAACTTCACAGCAGCACATTAACTCAAAAAGAAAACAACCAATCAGAAAAAAAAGTAAAGGACAATAGAAGTCCCCTCCCAACCAACTACTTCCTCTTTCAAGCTGCGACAAAACAACAGTACAAACAAAACAATATAACAGTATTCCCGGAAGAAAATGGATCCAATTGATGATCGTCATCCGGAGAAGGGGTTCCAACGTAGTATTGTAGATGAAACTTTAAACCGAAACGAGATAAACAGAATTGAAAAAATTGGTTAACGAACTAAATGTACTTAGAAAAACATGCAGTCACCCAGACAAAGGTTAAACATTACTAAAATCAACAGGATTTTCACTCAAACATTCCAGAAGTATACAAAAAATGTATATGCGACAGACAGAAATGTAAACCTGCAAAATTCCGGAGTCATGACGAGTTTATCCGACAACTAGGGTCTGGGGCATTCCGCCCGTAGCCTCTTTCGTACCTCCCAGTCCACAGGTTTGCGGACCCAGTAGTGTACAAACTGTGCCAGGTGGTTGGGCAACGACGATTTGGAGGACCTGGGGTGCCTAATGCACCATGGATCGAACAGGGGCTCGCTCGTAGAATCCAGGAATACGTCCTCCTCCTAGAGAGAAACTGGCTGCACAGATATGAGGGGGAGGGGGGGCGGGGGGCAGCTATAAGCCCCTCAATGAGGATAGAGTAGAAAGGAGAGATGTAGTCAGAAGTCTAGGACAGGCATGATAATGCCACAAAACTAGGTACTAGTAAAGAATATAAAGAAATTATCTCACATGCCACCCACTAAGTGCAGGAGGCAGTGGACTCTGACCTGTGCTTGATGTGGAGCAGCAAAGAAAGAGGAAGTAGTTGGTTGGGAGGGGGGACTTTTATTGTCCTTTACTTTTTTCCGATTGGTTGTTTTCTCTCTGTGTTAATGTGCTGCTGTGAAGAGAGACTTAAATATGAAGCCTCCTGTCATGTTATAAAATTTGTTTTTGGCCCGTGTAACCTTTTCTAAAGGTTTGGAGAGACTGCTCATTATAGAATGAACTTCTATATGCGTTAACTATGCTCTCATTATTTTCTCCCTCTAGATACCCGCAGTGCTTACACATGTTAGAGTTGCTGCAGTATGAACACTTCCGCAAGGAGCTGGTAAACGCCCAGTGCGCCAAGTTTATTGACGAGCAACAGATTCTGCATTGGCAGCACTACTGCCGCAAACGCATGAGGCTACAGCAGGCGCTGGCTGAACAGCAGTTGCAGAATAACACTATTGGCAAATGATGCACCATGCCTTTTGGCAGAAGTGGGACTTTATACTTTGCCATACTGCTGTCCAGGATCCCAATATATCAGCCGTCAATGTAGTTATCTGACATGGCATTGCCTAAAAGCTACTTTAGATACATGCGATGCAAGTGAAGTAACATCTATGTAATGGGGCACAGACCTTTGCGATAAAAGGCAATGCAGGCATCACAACTTGAATTCCTGTTAAAGACCTATGACAACATAGCAAGTTAATCACAAATTATCAGAAGCCGAAGAACTCTGTGCTGCTACCTGCACCGAAATCATGAACAATGTGAGGCTATTTGCCTTTGTAGACTTTTTTCATATGTTAATGTTCTTTTATAAAAGTGGTTTTGATTTTAGCTCACTGAATACTTCAGGATTGTACATAGTAATTTCATATCACAGTGTGTTGAAGAGATGTTGACTATCTTAAGTTAAATATGGTGAATATTGTGACAGGAAATACAGTTCATCATTTCTCACATGGCTTCTCTATGATATTCTAGGCTTAGAATATCTATTTAAATAGAGTTCTGTTAACATCACTTGTTATATAAAACACTTTCTTTCGAACACAGCTATTGGCTTTGTGTGTGTGTTTATTTTACAATTCATGGCTAACTCTTGTTGGATGGTTTAATTTTTTTTTTATAATTCTTACTAGCAGTAAAAAAATGTTTTCCCTGTGTTTCAAAGCAGTACCAAAAGGGATGTTCTTTATCCATAGGGACAGGTAACCTTCGGATTAACATTTAAAATAGGTGTTTCTCCCTCCCACACAATTCCTTAAATTTAGGGAGGGAGTTCGTTCTTACTTGTCCCGCACAAGGTATCCCCTCTTCTTCTAGGAGACACAGTACAGGATATTTAAGGTAAGGCAAGCTGAGCTGTCCAGCTGCAAGCCTCAGCTTTGGGGCACAATCCTTCAACCAGATTATAATGTATAAGAAAATCAATATTTGCTAATGCAAATAAATATATATAATTTTTTTTTCTCCTCAATTTTAATTTAAACTTACGTGTACCATGACAGTTACACTTTAAACACGAAATTGGTATCTGACATTTCCCCCCCCCCAAATGTCTTGTCAAATATACTGGTATATGACAATATTGTATTACTGAACAAAAAGGATATGTAGTGGTGATAAAACATTGACAGACCAAAATATAAAACCCAGAGAAGAAGACAGGATAAAAAAAATCAAGGGAGTTGTTAGTATATAAGATTCCCTCCATCTGTGCTGAGCTGGTTTACATTTTGTCATTTGCTGAACCCACTGTTTAGTGCATAGACTCCAGTGCTAATGATTATTTGAAAATGATGTATTTTGATGTAATCATTTTAAACCATTTAGAAATTGAACACTTTTAACAGCACTTGTATAATACTGCACTTATTCTGTCACTTGATAATCCAGGGAAATGTGTAGGGTGTTATAATGGCACAATTACTTCTTGATACCACTTTAGAATACATTATAGCAATATATATTAACCACCTCACTACACTTTAAAAAAAATGAAATTTTATAGATAGAGTGCAGTTTTGAGATACCAGAGAAAATATTGCATGCCTGAGTTTCATTGCTTGCAGAAATATAGAACACAGAGAGAGAACTTCATATTTCTCTGCTTCTTACAGGTTCCAAACATAGACAAAATAACATTACATTATTATTTATAAAGCGCCAACAAGTTCCGTAGCGCTGTACAATGGGTGGACTAACCGACACGTATTTGTAACCAGACAAGTTTGACGCACAGGAACAGAGTGATGGTGGGTTCAATGAGCTTACATGCTAGAGGAAGTGGTGTATAGTGATACAAAAGGTAAGGGTAGGGTAGAAAAGTTGGTTGTTAAGATAGTATTCATTGAGGGCTTAATGTTTTGTTTTGATGACAGTTTCAGAAGAAGAATCAGTGCAGGGTGGGGAAAGCTGTCCACAGTTTAATTGATAGGCTTTCCTAAAGAAGTAAGTTTTTAAAGATTTATTTATTTTTTTAAGGAGTGGAGATTTGGTGAGAGTCTAGCAGAGAGCGGAAGGGTGTTCCATAGGAACGGTGCAGCCCTAGAGAAGTTTATAAGTCTTTAAGGTGAGCATCAGAGGCAGGAGTACGAACAGAGGTTAGACCTAGGTCTCTGACAGAGTGTAGGGGCTAGATGGGACATATTTGTGTATTAGTGAGAATAAGTGGGAGCAGCATTGTGTAGAGATTTGTAAGCAAGTGTCAGGATCTTAAATTGATCCCTATATCATATGGGAAGCCAATGGAGGGACTGACAAAGGGGACAGGAAGATAAGCCTCACCGCAGCATTCATTATAGACTTTAACTGGGCAAGTTGGGAACACTTACGACCACTGAGAAGTGGATTACAGTAGTCAAGGCGAGAGAAGACAGCAGCATGGACAAGCACTGTTGCGTATCAGGTGTTAAATAGTATCAGATGCATGCAATGTTATTGAGATGGAAGCGGCAGGATTTGGCGATTGATTAGACATCTGGGGTAAAGGAGAGGTCGCAGTCAAAGAGAACACCTAGGCAGCGTGCCTTATAGGTAGAGCGGATGGAAGCTCCATTGACTTGGAGGGACACAGACAAGGGAGTAGCAACACTTGAGGGAGGGAAGACCAGAAGTTCTGTTTTGGACAGGTTCAGTTTAATGAAATGTCAGAGACATGAGTCTAGAGGGGTGGTGTGAAATCAGGAGAGGACAGATACATTTGCATGTGATCTGCATAGAAATGATATTGGAAGCCAAAGGAGCTGATGAGTTTACCAAGGGAGGCAGTGTAGATTGAGAACAATAGGGGACCAAGAACAGACCCTTGGGGAACACCAACAGAGAGGAATTGGGGAGAAGAGGCAGAGCCAGAGAAAGAAACACTGAATGAGCACTGGGAGAGGCAGGAAGAACACCAGGAGAGAGCAGTATCTCGTAGACAGAGATTACGGAGAATGAGAAGAAGCTGTTGATGATCAACAGTGTCAAAAGCAGCAGAGGTCAAGGAGAATTAGGATAGAGGAGTGGCAGTGGGATTTAGCAGTGATAAGATCATTGTATACTTTGTTCACAGCTGTTTCAACAGAGTGACGAGCGCGGAATCCAGACTGAAGCGGGTAAAGTAGAGAGTTGGATTTGAGGAAGTCTGTCAATCTCACATACACAACTTGCTCAAGGATCTTGGAGACAAACTGCAGTAGCGAGATAAGGCGGTAATTGGACGGGGAATTAGGGTCAAGCTTGGGCTTTTTCATAATCGGGGTTACGGTTGCATGTTTGAAGGGTAGAGGAAATGTGCCAGAGGAGAGGGAGAGATTGAAAAGGTTAGTGAGAGGCAGAGAAAGAGAAGGAGACAGGTACGGGTAAGATACTAGGGAATAGGATCGAGGGAACAGGTGGTGGGGTGTTAGGGATGGAGCAGAGCATGAGTATCTTCTGCTGTAGCGAATGCAAATGAGCGTAGGACAGCTGAGGGAGTGTGGTTAGGTGAAAAGTTTGTAGTGGATAGAGAGAGATCTCTTCCCTGATTGTAGAAATCTCAGTGAAGTGAGTTGCTAAGTTTGTGGGGGTCAAGTTGGTAGGAGGAGGAGTAGGCATGACAGGGTGAAGAGAGTTAAAAGCATGAAACAGTCCTATGGGTTCGCGGGAGAGTGTGGTAATGAGTGTATTGAAGTAGTTTTCATTTGAAAAGGAAAGAGCCAGACTGTAGGAGTGCACCATAAATTTATAGTGTAGGAAATCAGACACAGAGTGAGACTTTCTCCAGCAGCTTTCAGCAGTTCTGGAACATTTTTGAAGGTATCAGGTCAGCTTGGTGTGCCAGGGTTGTAATCTGGGGCACTTAGTGTGTTTAAGTATAGGAGGTGCCATGATGTGGAGTTGTAGAGGGAGGTTGCAGCGTTAGTGCAGGTAAGATTGGTGAAAGGAGACTTTAGAGGTTGGTGGATAATTGCTGTAGGTCAAGACAATGGAGGTTTCTATAAGACTGATGTGGTGAGGCTGAGGTACTTTGGGTACGGGGTATGTGGATGTCAATGGACAGCAGATGGTGGTCAGATCGAGGAAATGTAACATTGGAGAGAATAGAGGTAGTACAGAGATTGGTGAAGATGAGGTCAATAGTGTTTCCTGCTCTATGAGTTAATGAATTAGACCACTGTGTGAGTCCAACAGAGGAGGTTATAGAGAGCAGATGAAAGGCATCAGGGCAGTTAGGGTTGTTGATTGGGATATTAAAGTCCCCATGAATGAGGGAAGAAGTGCAAGAGAAGAGGAAATGGGGTAGCCAGGAATAAAAGTGTTCAATAAATAGCCTAGGATGACGAGGGGGGGGTGGGGAGGACAGAGGGGTTAATGCGGAGGTTGTGGGAAGTAGATATAAGGAGAGATTTTGATACAGAGGGAGAAAAGGGAAAATAAGAGGAGGACAAGATAGAACATTACTCAGATGGGTATGCACTTCCATAAAAAAACTGATAGTTGGGAGTAGGCCAGTTAAAGACACAGAGAGGACATGTAGTGGTGTAGAAAGCTGGGCTAGAGTGTAACAGGCAGAGGGGAGGAAGATAAAGAGTGAATGTTAGGGGTTAAGAGAGTATAGGAATGTACAGATTATTTGATTTGCAGCTGTTATATCTGATTATTGAGATTTGTGGGTGAGAGTCTATCTATAAATTAAATGAGGAGCGTGGGGAGGGATGGGACGGGCAAATAGGCAGCGTTAAATGTTGTCCAGAAGGCTTCCCTGCTTATTGAAAATGGATCAGCTAAAGGTGGACTGAGTGCTGTTCTGATGTGAGGCAGGAAAGTTTTAAATTCACACTGTAAGAGAGATAGGTAAGGGGATCAAATAGGCATGCAATAAAGCTAGGGATCACCTGTCAAAGTAGTAGGTTGGGGAAAAAAAATGTCCGACTCCAAGTGTTTGTTTGCTGCTTTGCAAAAGGGAACTACATATCCTCTCTCTTTACAAAACTAACCACCATCGCTCTCTTTTTGAGGTGATAGGACCCATTGTTGCTTTGGTATTCTCATTGATACGGACCTTAATTTTATACCAAAAATTCATTATGTCTACAAACCCTGTAATTTCCACATAAAAACATAGCCAGACCTTTTTTAAAACACACTGTAAGGAAGGTGTTCATACTTCTGTAATTGCCGGTCAATTACTGTAGCTCTCTCAACTTGTTTCTAAATTGGTTTCTCCAAAACCCATACTGCCTCTCTATATGTTGCTGCCATGATTATTTTATTTGCTCTTATCAAACCTTTTTAAACCATCATCATATAGTATATTGAATAGAACCCAACACTCACTTACGAAGCTCTCTAAATATTTCTGCATTTTGGGCAACAGTAGCTTTTCTGTGTGATTAGATCCAACAGGCTAGCTTTCCTACCCAGCCTTGGGCATCCATCCTGATGCCGGCTCACAGTTTGTCCACTATATACCGGGAACACCCACAAGACTTGCCTTTTGGAGATAATCTGACCCATTCGTCTAGCCATCACTATTTGGCCCTTGGCAAAGTCAGTCAGGTAATTTCGCTTGCCCATTTTTCCAGCTTCCAAACACATGAAATTAAAAAAATTCAAAGAAGTTGCTGCCTAGTATATTTTTTACACGTGTCATTGTAATGATATACACATGGTGATGATTCACTTCCTCCAGCAGTGGGTTTAATGTTCTGGCCGATCAGTCACTTGGTAGCATAGAGGTCCAGAGGACCTATTTTTTTTCCTTCTGCCAATCTAAACATCTGCTAGCATAATGCATAGATGAAAATATATTTTCTTTGAAATAAATCAACCTATTATCTATGATAAAATCTTAAATCAAGCACAGAAAAAAAAGTAAAAATCATTACAGAAGGTCTCAATGTTATCTTTATTTTTAGCATACTCCTTGTTGCTTCTGGATTAATATGTTTATTTTTTACAAAAGGTTTACAAAATTAAACATGCAGTGGTTTGTTTACTAAATCATGTTATGCGAATCAGAAGACAAACCTAGAACAGCAGAGTTGGATATGTTAATTTTGACTAAATATTACAGCAGGTAAAATCCCATATATTAGCACTGGCTAACCTAAACACACCAAATGTTTGTGGACTACCTTTCCCATAAGCATTATGGAATCTTTAGGAAACAGATGCCTTTGTGTTAAGGTAAGTCAGTTTGTTATAAAGTTTGTGAAAATGATGCATGAATATAGCAAATATTTGCAGAGCAAGCTGAATTTGTGCAGGGTCTAATAGCATAGGAAGTCATTGATCCTCAGTCCAATGGCATTCTGAGTACTTTACATATCTATGTAATCATCCCAAAAGAAATGTCAAGACACATGAATCACTTGATTTCCTCTTTAAAGCCCTACCACCACATTTCATTACAAAATGTCCCGGTTAATTTGCCTTTGTAGTTTTGAACAGTTCTGCATTTCTTAAGAATAGGACATTCCATTTTAATGTTGGATTTTTCAAGGACATTTTATTACTCCATTGGTCCTTAAAAGGTTAAACGATTTCTGCTTTTTTTGTATCACAGCAGAGGCCATTAACCATTTCTCCTATATATTAATAATGGAGAAAGTTTACAAAACCAGATATTATTTTAGTCCTCTGAAAAAATCATTTGCACTAGATCAGCCTTAAGGCACTGCTCTTCCACCAACTTCTGGGTCTGAAAAAGAAAGAAGAAAATAAATATATAAATAGATGGTAGAAGTCCAGGGTTACAGATGGGAGTAGAGTGCTTTCATTGCCTATGGCACAGGCAAAGTTTGTAAGATCTGTGACTTTCCGATCATGTTTAGATTAAAAGATATATATTTCTACCTCCTCCAGAATGGGTTCAATTATGTATGCTATTGACTGAGATGGAGGCGGCACCCAGTTGCAGGGATAGAGGTATGGAATTGTACAATTAACATTTTATCACCCACTAAAGTATGTAAAAGAACAGATGAAATTAGTGTCTTTGAATACCTTTTTTTTTATTGGACAGAATTTTGGAACGGCAAGCTATTGGGAGAACCTCCCTTTGAGTCGAGTTGTGATACTGAGGTTACAGAAACAGGAGTGCAGAGAAGACAAAGGTCAGAGAGAATATACACCATTCCCCCAGAGAGTCATAAATAGCAAATAATCACAGGGTGAAGGAAAGGAGAGAAAACACAAACAGTGCAGGAGATGGTACTAGAAGGGGAAGAGTTAAACAAATTACATAAATTAGGAATTCTTGAATTCACATCCACGAACATGCATGAAGGCCTATAATACAACCTATGCACACATATACACAAACACCCACACTCAAATATATATGCTTGCACACTTATACATCTTAAAGCAACAATAAATATACTGACAAATGTACATATACATATATATATATATATATATATATATATATATATATAAATAAAATAAAATAAAATAAAATAAAATAAAAAAATAAAAAAAACACACACACCACACACAACCACCTGTATATATGCATACATATATCTATAAGACTACATGCATTTGAGTATTGGAAAGCAAATGTCTGTACATAATATATATAAAAATAATAATGATGATAATACTAAAAACATCAGAATGCATTTTAACGTGCATTCATTTGAAAGAAGAGTAAGGTAATGGATAAGGGAGTCATGTAAAGTAATGGGACAGGAAATGTAAATCAACATTTTGTCCTCTCTTCTTACTAGTAAAAAAAATAAAAAAAATAAAAATATGGTATCAATCTGGCTTCAAGGGTGTTTATTTCATGGGTATTGCTAAATCTGTGATCACTTTAATTTGTAGGTCCTTGATTGAGTGGTCAGGCTGGGTAAAATACTGTCCCACAGGAGTGCAGTAGGATTCTTCTTTGTGGTGTTTAATGGGGTGTAGCATTCTAAGCGGCATTTGGTGCATTGAATCATGTATACCACATTGCTATATGTGCAGGAGTATCATCCTTTAATGCTGTAGATTTTTTTGTGGGTGGCCGTGTTGTTTGTGTATATGTGCTGGCACAGTTTGATGGGGATACTGTGATTATTTTTTAAGTCAGCTTGTTCCTGTACGGAGAGATTTCGAAACATGCTCTTTTGGTTTAGTTTGATCTCCAGGAATGTAGTTCTTAGATGGAAACTTTCAATGTAGCGGTCTTGTTTCAGTGTTCTTTATTTTAGGAGTATTTCTTAACTCGCATCCTAATTTCATCTGTTATTTTACATATGCATCATTGGACTAACATGGCTACAATCTCTACTCTAATATTAAAGTAAATATTTTATGACACACACCTGCATATCAAGTAGGACTTTGAGCGGTCCTTCTTGGGCTTAGTAACTTGAGAAATCATGTTTCCACAGATAGGTGTCATCTTTCAGAACTAAGACACCTTTATCAACGTACATTGTTTTAAAGAGTTGTTTTGTTTGGTTTTAAATCCAAACGGAAACCACCCATGGACTGCAGATTCGACCTTGTGGTTCTCATCAGCATGGTGCCAGTTCTAGACTAAAAATGTAAAGTCTCTCTGACAGCATATTGCTAGTTACCAAAAGATTGTGGTGAGGCCACAATCTATATCAGTTTTGTAGAAATTAAAAAAACAGATTACCTCTATACAATACAATTCTATACTGTGAAGCTTCTAGTACCATAACCGGTTTTCAGGTATCAAGAAGAGCAGCGCCTCATTTTCAGAAATTGTGCCTAAAACATTTGACATTAGACTGGGGTGCAATACCGGAACACTCTTAAGAAACACAACCACTACAGCTAACAGTAGGTGTTATTTTGCTTACACTGGTCCTTTAAGAGTTAATGAATGGTACCTGCTTCTACAGGCACCATATAGTGAAGAGGACGTCCATTCAAGTTAAAATGTTATATATACTGCAAGATTTGTTTATGATAGTGAAGGGGTCGGAACAAAACAGTGTTAATTCTGCAGAGGTAGAGGGTTTACTTTTCCCCTTTCAATATAAACAGTTTTAACATATCTCACCGTTCCACACTTTAGGAGGGTTGGAACACCAGTCAATTTTAGAACTTGCTTAAACTCATTGTTCGGGTCTTTCCAACTAAACGAGAGGAAAAAAAAAAAAAAAAAGGGGATAAGGTTTTAGAAAATGGAACAAACGGTGATACAGTTTCTTGTAAATAAAAAAAATTAGTTATTATATTACAAACCCCCACACATAAGTCAACTAATGCTCATTACTATGGTGGACCCCTTGTACTGTGTATGTTATACAGTGAGCCCAATATACTGATTAAGAAAGGACTAAACAGTGTACAAACACGTTTATAGCACTGTGTCACAGCTCTGCCTGTCCTGTTTCCAGAAGGCACACTCCGTCTACCCTTACCCCTACCTCTCCTCCTGTGGACGTATAGGGTGATCTGTACTGTGCTCCCCATGCTGCTCCAGGATAAGCTTAGGCTGACACGGTCTGGCAAATCCAGCTCAACAAGCATGGAAGTTTGCAAGTTAAATGCACAAACTGACATAGCATCCCATCCATATAGGGAGGTGTGGACACCTAGTTACCCAGCAGAGCCTTTCACTTATTTAGGCCCTCCCATGCACTTTTCCATATTTAAGCACAGACAACCCTAAAATCTGTGCTCAGTTGTTCTCCTTGAGTACAGAGCCAGCTCCTGTCTGAAGTTGATTACCCACACATGTGGAATTCCCCTGAATCAACACTTGTTTGCATGAAACCTGCCTTCTACCTGGAGTAACCCCTACAATGCAGATTCAACCTTGGTTAACCCCTGCAGTGCTGTTTCTACAGACAGAAGTGAGTTGACTACCCTCACCTGTGGAATTTACTACCCTGAATCTACTTTGGTTAACCCCTGCAACGCTTTCCCAGCATCTCCCGCAATTCAACTACAGCTTCAAATCAATTCTTTCTTCATTTACCAAGTGCTGGAACTCTGGTAAAAGGACTATTTTTCCTTAAAGACTCATTTCTTATAAAACTAATTGCTTTATTTTACCGTTTATACTTGCATTAGGACTTTTGCATTATATTTGTTTTCAAAATAATTTTAATTCAGAGACTGTGTGCATATAAAATTTCTGCATACCGAGCCCATTCACCCCAAATCCCAAAGTACAATAAAGCCCACATTGGATTTAAATTCTTGAACGGTTTTTTATTTTTAGTTCTTAGTGGCAACAATCTATGAAATTCTACTTTCCACTGTTAAAACGTACCTTTACGGTTGCTATTTTACAAATAATGGAGGAATATATATTTGTCTATTCAAACCGAAAGGAAGGTTACCATGCCTGGTTTCTTTAAGACCAGCTCATGAAGTGAAGATGAGCCGGGATAGATAGATATAGATAGATAGATAGATAGATATATATATATATATATCACACTGTACCAGTGATCATTCACGCTCCCAGAGGAAGGGAGTACATCGATCACCCATCTTCCAAATTTGCCTACTGTGAGGTTCTGTAATAAAACTCCCTTACTGGCATGGCACGCAGCTCGAACGAGTTCATGGGGGGCTATAGTACCATCGGAATTCCTTAAGAGATTTTATCCTCTTCATCTTTTGGTTTAGATCTTTGTGACTACACTACATGTGGCAGAGGTTTAAGTACTGTGTATCCAGTTTACATAATAAAAAAAATATATAATACACTATGGAAGCCAATGCCTGGTTTTGCACTTTTTGGTTATATGTACTAAACAGTAAATTGTGTTTGCCTTTTAACCCCTTAAGGACACATGACATGTGTGACATGTCATGATTCCCTTTTATTCCAGAAGTTTGGTACTTAAGGTGTTAAAGAAGCTCTGGTCACCTTGACAATCTCTATGGATGTTCCTTCGAGAAAGGGTGCCGCCATAGAGATAATCTGGTGATGAGTAAGATAATGCTTTATTCCCACAGTGGTCACTAGCGATTTCTGGGGGAAGTAATGAAATACAACGCCCTTCTGTCAAGTTAGAGATTTAAAATAACACAAAGAACGCCCTACTTTCTCATCTTTTGACTGCGTTGGGATTTTAATGACATTCCAACTCAATTTTTATGAGCATTTCTTAAAAGGAAGGTTCAATCTCTATGATATACTCAAAGCTCTTTTGGTGTGACAGAGCAACTGCAAAAATTGTCATGATGGATATGTGATGGCAAAGACTGCACATTGAATAATCCTAACACATTCACAGGATCAAATTAATAAGTTTAAAAAAAAAAAAAAAAAAGTGGGAGGGGATGATTTGTAAATTACATACGTCACTTACTAAGGTCTCTCTCCAACTTGGCAGTATAAAAATACTGCGTCATCAGGAAGATTCTTGAGTTCTCCACGCACTACTGGCTCAGCTGAAATACATGGTAAACAGTGCACAGTGAATAATCTCTCCCCATTTAAAAAGATTAAAAACTGCATAACATTTTGAATTAATATCAAGAAAATAGTTTACAATGTTACAGATCAGTAATGCCTGCATTTTGTTACTTAAAAGGAACACTATACTTCTACCAGCGCTAAATACAAATGTGTATTCCTGACACTAATTCTAGCACTATTTAGGTGGCCGGCCCCTTTGTCAGCTAGATAAAAGGTTAATTGACTCACCTTTTTCTAGCACTGCGCAGATCTCTTTGTGGCTGGCTCAACCCCCACTCTGCCGCCTTGGCAGAGATCAAACCCACTGCTTCAGCATCTTCTCATAGAAATGTACTGAATCAATGCATTTCTAAGAAAAAAGTGCAGCACCTCTATGCAAAACATGGAGACGTTGACAGTAAGTGCTTCACACTGTACAGCACTGACCCAGGAAGCACCTCTAGTAGCCATCTGAGGAGTGGCCACGAGAAGTGTCCGTAGGCTGTAAAGAAAACTGTTTTTTCTCTGAAAATACAGTGTATGCATTAAAAAGCCTGCAGGGACATGTTATAGACACCAGAACAACTACATTAAGCTGCAGTTGTTTTGGTGACTAATGTCCCTTTAAGCTGTTGTGAAGGAGAACTCCTTTGATGTTCAAGTTAATCTCTTAATTCCGGGGTACACACAGCATTTTCAAAAATATTGAACGATTGGGGTGATTTAGAATTAATTTTTTTTAATTATTATTATTTTTTTTTTAAAGTGGTCTAAACTACAAAAAGTAGGGGACCATCACCAAATGATTACAGCGGACACTCCAAATAGTAACTAATGTACTTAGTTAGCTGTGCTTTACTGGAGAAGGACTTTGACTCATTGTTCATAGATTAGCATCTCATTTTACACCAAGACAGAGAATCTCCTTTGGAATATGTGACATATTAAGACTGTAAGCATCTCTAAACTAATTTGTATCAGCAGAAGCAAGCACAAGGGGCTTACTTACTAAACAGTGAAATGGGAAAATAATAGCCACAAATGTTTTGCAAAACTAATGTGCTATGGATAGCATTTACTGCAACAGTGTTGGCAGGGGCCTAGTCCCAATCCACAGTACAGGCATACCCCACTTTTAAGTACACAATGGGACAAGAACATGTATGTAAAATTAAAATGTACTTAAAGTGAAGCAATAACTTTCACTTTTCACTAACCAATGCATGTACTGCATTGCAATAGTCATTTACAGGCATAACTGATACTGCAGATTTCCAGTGATTTATTTAGTGATTTCCAGTGGGCTTTTATTCAGTTAAAACAAACAATAAAAAAAATAAACTCATTCCAGATTGTACCATTTATCTTTAAAGGGACTCTCCAGTGCCAGGAAAACAAACCGTTTTCCTGGCACTGCAGGTCCTCTCTCCCTCCCATCCCAAGTTGTTGAAGGGGTTAAAAGCCCATCAGTGACTTACCTGTATCCAGCGTCGATGTCCCTCGGTACAGGGTCCACCGACGCTGTGGGGGGGACCTAATGCGTATGCGCGGCAGATCTCCCCATAGGAAAGCATTGAAAAATGCTTTTGATGCTTTCCTATGGGGATTTCAGCGACGCTGGAGGTCCTCACATAGCGAGAGTTTTCGTGTGCTATAAAGACTGAAGTGCCCTCTAGTGGCTGTCCAGTAGACAGCCACTAGAGGAGGAGTTAACCCTGCAAGGTAAATATTGTAGTTTATTAAAACTGCAATAATTACACTTGCAGGGTTAAGGGTAGTGGGAGTTGGCACCCAGAACACTCCAATGGGCAGAAGTGGTATGGGTGCCTGGAGTGTCCCTTTAATGTTTTACTCATCTGACAACCTTAAACTGGGAGGAAAAGTAAAATAAACCTGCTCACTAGGCCATTTTCTGTCAATCCAGTGCCAATTTGTATTTGTTAGCAGTTTAGTTGCACACTTTGTTTAGAAACACCTTTTTTATCACTTTAACCCCTTAAGGACCGAGGACGGTTCAGGACCGTCATCGGCATTTTTGCCTTGCCGACCGATGACGGTCCTGAACCGTCCTAACGGTCTGGGGGTACTTACCTGATCGCCGTCGTTCCCCCGGCGGCGATCAGTGTTCCTCCGGTTGTGGGGAGACTGCCTGCAGCCCAGACAGTCTCCCCACGGCAGATTAGGACCCCTGTGGCCATGTGATCGCTTAACACAGCGATCACATGGTCACAATAGGTGTCCATAGTGCTGCCTGCAGGGGGACTGTCTGTGCTGACAGGCAGTCTCCCTGCATGTGTAAAATCAGAAAAAAAAAATAAAGTTAGTGTTAATTAAAAAAAATAAAATAATTATATATGTGTATATATGATATATAGACATATATTATATCTATATAATATATGTCTATATATCATATATATATAATGTCATACTAAGTGTATTTTTATATTAATATGTACTTATATTAATATAAAAATACACTTATAATTAAATTACACACGTATATATATAATATATATAATAACTATATATATTGTATATATATTATTATAAAATATAAATAATAAGTAATTTAAATTAAATAAAAATTTTTTTAAATAATAATAAAAAATTTTAAAAAATTATATAGCTATATGAAATTTTATTCTAACTGTATTTTAAAATTAATATATATATATTTATATCAAAATACACTTAGAATGAATTTGTATATATATCTATGTATATAAAAATAAATAAAAATAATAAGAAATATACATACGTCCATATACAAAATTACATAAATAATTATATAAATATACACGTAGACTTCAAATATATAAATATGCATATATATTTAAATTCTACGTGCGTATTTATGTAATATTTTTACATAATTCAGTAATTTTATTGATTGCAATTTGAGGGACCTGCCTGCCAACCCAGGCCGAAATTCCAGAGAATTTAATTTGCTAGCACTGTATTTTACCCTGTAACGTTCTACGACACCCTAAAACCTGTACATGGGGGGTACTGTTTTACTCGGGAGACTTCGCTGAACACAAATATTAGTGATTCACAACAGTAAAACATATCACAGCGATGATATTGTCAGTGAAAGTTACTTTTTTGCATTTTTCACACACAAACAGCACTTTTACTGATGATATAATTGTTGTGATACGTTTTCCAGTTTTTAAACACTAATATTTGTGTTCAGCGATGTCTCCCGAGTAAAACAGTACCCCCCATGTACAGGTTTTATAGCATTTTTGAAAGTTACAAGGTCAAATATATGGGTCAAATATTTTTACATTGAAAATGGCCAGGTTGGTTACGTTGCCTTTGAGAGCGTATGGTAGCCCAGGAATGAGAATTACCCCATGATGGCATACCATTTGCAAAAGAAGACAACCCAAGGTATTGCAAATGGGGTATGTCCAGTCTTTTTTAGTAACCACTTGGTCACAAACACTGGCCAAAATTAGCGTTCAATTTAGTTTTTTTACTTTTTTCACACACAAACAAATATTAATGCTTACTTTGGCCAGTGTTTTCGACTAAGTGGCTACTAAAAAAGACTGGACATACCCCATATTGAATACCCTGGGTTGTCTACTTTAAAAAAAATATGTACATGTGGGGTGTTATTCAGAGATTTATGACAGATAATAGTGTTACAATGTCACTATTGATAAATTTTAAAAATGTATGTTTTGAAACCACAATATCCTACTTGTACCTATAGCCCTATAACATGCAAAAAAAAGCAAAAAAGCACGTAAACACTAGGTATTTTTAAACTCAGGACAAAATTTTGAATCTATTTAGCAGTTTTTTTCATTCGCTTTTGTAGATGAGTAAAAGATTTTTCAAGTAAAAGTCAAAAAACATGTATTTTTTTCAATTTTTCATCAGATTTTTGTATTTTTTTTAAATTAAAATACATGAGATTATATAAATAATGGTATGTAAAGAAATCCCCTTTTGTCCTGAAAAAAACAATATATAATTTGTATGGGAACAGTAAATGAGAAAGCGGAAAATTACAGCCAAACACAAACACCACAAAAGTGTAAAAATATTCCTGGTCGCAAATGTACAACATCGCAAAAACAGTCCAGTCCTTAAGGGGTTAAGCATTTATGGTTTAACTTTTATTCCTCAGAATTGCAGCTAATCTGCCAAGTCATATTCTAGAAAATGGAAGGCTTAACCCATTCACTGGATGGCAGCCGATTGCAGAATATGGACAATATAAGGGCAGAAAATAAATAAATAAATAATAATAAAAAAAAATTACATAATATATATATATATATATATATATATATATATATATATATATATTCAGCTAGGAGTAGGCATTATAAATTTGCCCTAACATGTTTGAGGTTTACAGATCCTAACCCAACCCATAAAACAAAAGCAGAATGAATGAGAGGATTAACCTGTGCCACGTCAGAAGGTGTTTAAAGTTCTTGCCCCAATGACACTGAACTGAGCTGCTCCAGGCAAGAATAGAACCTTCCATTCCCTGAGGCACCTTTACGTACACGCGCAGCTATGTCCGTACTCGCGAGTGTACGTAAAGTGAGGGTTTTAAAGCAGGGTATGCCTGTATAGCAACACAACAGAATGAGAATATAATTATTGCCATTTATATAGCGCCAACATGTACCAAATCGCTTTACAATATTATCATGGGTAAAATTTAACAATGAGAAAACTACAAAATGGTACGGGACAAAAGGTTGATAAGGACCGTGCTCAAAAGAGCTTACAGTTAAGGGATATTTATTACTGACATTTATAAAGCGCCAACATATTCAGCAGCGCTGTAAAATTAAGAAAAAAAGACTGTACAATATAAAGAGATCAATACAAAAGATAGAGTACTAACCCTTGAAGATTCGTTATACAGATATTGCTAGATAGCCAGTGAGCTTACAATCTAAGTGACATCATGTGTACACTGTGTCACAGAGATTTACAGGGTCCCTGGTAACAGAAGGCTTATCATAGCTGGCATTGACACAACACTGAAGGGGTCTGAGGATACCAAGGCACTCCACTAATTAGATATAATACCTTTCACGCAGTCTGGACACCAGCTCACCCCATCTGCATTCTTATTTCCAGAAAAATAAGCAAACACTGGCTTTCCCTTGTGTTTCTCCACCTCCTGGCAGTAGGCCTGGTATCCTTCTACCTTCACTTCTTTATAAGCAGACATGTCTAGAGCTATAAGGAGTGAGTGCACTCAGACTGCAGTCCTTACAGAGAGCACAGGGCAAGCTCCAGCTGGCAGTAACACAGCTAAATCACATGGACTGTGCTCTCAATTCACTTCCTGTCTGAGCTCTTAAAGGGGCAGCACATAGCTGACAATGTGGACAAAATACCTGACTTTGGAGGAAAAAACAATAAATAAATCTCCAATTTCAGCTAGTTTTACCTAAAGTTTACCATATCCTGATCAAATGGCCGTGTAATGAATACCTTGAGTGGTTTAGTCAATAAAAGGAGGGCATCACCACAATGAATCTTTGTGTATCTTTATTAATTTATATTATTTGGCTGGGAATATATCCCCCCAGAATTAAATCTACCAGGTGCATTTTTTCCCCACGTTCAGATATCCCGCCTGTATTCCCCCTCACTCCCGCCGCGTTCACGCTATTGACTAGTTTTGGTCCTCGCTGGGATCCGTACAGAGACACTTCCGCCCGCGGTTGTCATGGCGCCGCTTTCAACTGCTGGCTCTCAGAGGAGTGTGTGTCGCTCATTGTGGAGTGTGAGTGACCTCCGTGAGTTACAATAAAGTAAAGGGGGGTGGGGGTCGAGTATACTGTCAGCATTGGCTGGGTGCTTGATACTCTGTGTCCATCTATATAGCTTTTATAATATGTTGGTTTGGTTTATCAAAACAAAGATTGAATTCTCTTTTTTTTTTTTTTTTTGTATTGCGCCTGAATAATGTGATAGCTACTAAAATATAGTTAATTTCATTGAAATCAGTGATTGTTCACTATCTTTCCATTAATTCTCAATCCTGCCATGGAGCTGATAAAAGCATTATGGGAAATGTAGTCCTCCAACAGCTACAGTGCAGAATAAACTGACGACATAGACATTATTATAAATAAGATCATGTGATATAAGGGGGAGAGGGGTGGGGGTGTTAGTGTCTCCATCATTGTGGACATCCAAAAATAAAATCACAGAAGTGGCCTGTTTCCCACTGGCATGGAGACATTTCAACACAGTTCACATTTTAGGCCAAAATTGTTGAGCATGGAAAAAAAAAAATGAGTTGAGGAATGTATCTAAAATTGTCAATTTTCTCCTAAAAGTAGCAATTCCATTGTCAAGTTACAATTTATATAATAGTGCTAATATGTGAGATTTAACTTTGAAAGCAAGCTAGCGTTGATTATTCCTTATCTATTTACACCAGAATAACTCTTGTATAACTCTATTATTCTGTTTATTAACATGAGTATCATTAATCTGTTTTTTTTCCCCTCTTCTCCAAAGATGTAAATATGGCGGTGGATTTTCAACATTATTCAAGAATGGTACAGGAGGGGTTAACTGATATTAGTGGTGTTCACAATGCATCACTCAGAGGAAGTTACAGGGCAAAGGAAAGTCAGGTTGGTTTTAATTGCATTGAGTATACAATGCCAGAAGCGTGTTCTGAAATGTTAAATGCACGTAGCAGATCTCTGCAACATGAAAGTATTCCAAGAACGCTTCAGACAGTTTAGAGAATAAGCTCCTCTGTCTTTCTCAGTACTCAAATGTAGACTGAATGCATGTCAATCCTACCCAGGTACCAGACATTCATCAAAAAGTTTAAAACATGTTTGGGCATTAAAACAAAACCTTTATGATGACAAAATGTTACCAACTCTAGTTTATACATTTATACACCTGAAGTTTTGATTTGATTCTTTTTCTGACCCTGAGCACTTCCATATGTATGTATTCTGCACTTGATCATGTATCCTTCCTGTCACTGATTCTTTTCACTCTTTTGCTTTTTGTATTATGTAGATTTGTGTGTTTGTGTTTTGTTTTGCCTCTATTTTAGATTAATTTCAGACTGTCTAGTATTATACAAATTGCATAACACTTTAAACATTTGTTCACTTTCCCTTTATTCAATTCTAAAACAAATGTTTTTGTCTTTCTTTCTAGCTTCAATTTAATCGAAATGTTCTCACTCATCCTGCTAATCTGGCTGCTCACTTTTCAGCCCCAAGTCCAATTGTAATTGAGAAACTTTGTACACCTCAGCAAAATTTGGGACAGGATATAAATCAAGGTAATGCTTTAAGGAATTCCATCTCTACAGTTTCATTTTCCGTAGTATCAGAGGACCGTCTAAACCTCGCTCTACAGCTTGCTAAGCGTGATGTGAAGCGAAAACATGTGCAGGAAAACCAAGAGGGCAGACTAAAATTACAAATGCATGAGGGTTCATCCCAAGTCAAATCAGATGTACCTTCAAAACACCTTCACAAAGTCAAAGCAAAAACACATATCCATAAGGAAAGCAAGAATACTGTTAATGCATCAAAATCTGAAGTGACTAAATCAGGTGCTCGGGTCTATGTGTATACACCAGATCGGTATAGGATGCATCCAATTACATCTGACTCCCCACCTACTCATGACTCAGGACCTGGAAATAAGACCAGCCTTAAAACCGTAACAGAGCCAAGTGAGTTGGAAGTAAAGAGGTTGCAGAAGGAGCTGCGAAAGTATATGCAAAAGATTGAAGAACTGGCAAGTAAAGGTAAATGGAGAACACGCATATAATTCCTGTTTGTTTATTTTACATATTGTACCTTTGATGTTGTATAGTGTCTTGTGTCTTTTTACAATACCGCATAGAGCTAACATTTATCAGAGCCTTCATTTTAAATGAATAATTCACTAAACCAGCAATTATAGTGAATTTGCAAGGAAATTGCTGAGTATTGGGCAAAATAGCCAAGCCATAGAAAAATAACTGAATAAGAGAATTTTTCCAATTTGTCTCTTTTAACTTTAACTTAAAGGAGCACTACAGGGTTAGGAACACAAACATGTATGCTGACCCTATAGTGTTAAAACCACACTCTATACCCCTGGTCCCCTCATGCCTCCCTAAATATAGTAAAAATTTACTTGTAGTCAAGTCTGGAGCTGCTTGCTTTGACCGTGTTTCTTTTTTACCTGCCTGCTGACATGCTCAGAGGTGGTGGCCTGGTCCAATCACAATGCTTCCCCATAGGATAGGCTGAGACTGACTCGGGGCAGAGCCAGCACAATGCAAACCCAGCCCTGGCCAATCAGCATCTCCTCATAGAGATGCATTGAATCAATCCATCTCTATGAGGAAGGTTCAGTGTCTGCATGCAGAGGGAGGAGATACTGAATGTTGTGATGCATTTTAAGCAGTAAGGACCTCTAACAGCCATCTGTTAGTGGCCAGTGAAGTTATCTCTGAAAAGACAGTGTTTACAGCAAAAAGCTTGACGGTAATGATTCTACTCACCAGAACAAATTCAATAAGCTGTAGTTGTTCTGGCGACTATAGTGCCCCTTTAATTTGTAAGTCTATTGTAAATTTTACACAATTTACAGGATAGTGTCTCTGAAAAGTCAGTGTTTACTGCACAAAGCCTGCAGGGACTGACTATACTCACCAGAACAACTACATTAAGCTGTAGTTGTTCTGGTGACTATAGTGTCCATTTAAACTTCCCCCATTGGATTGAAAAACAATTATAATTGCTCTGTCACCCACCATTTCAACCCCTGAGGAATTTATCTCAGAAATCTGACACTCAAAACTGTATTCTTAAAGGGACACACCAGGCACCCAGACCACTTCTGCCCATTGGAGTGGTCTGGGAGCCAACTCCCACTACCCTTAACCCTGCAAGTGTAATTATTGCAGTTTTTTATGAACTGCAATAATTACCTTGCAGGGTTAACTCCACCTCTAGTGGCTGTCTACTAGACAGCCACTAGAGGGCACTTCCTGCATCATAGCACAGAAAACCTGTGCTAGAGCGTCGCTGGACATCCTCACGCTGTGTGAGGACCTCCAGCGTCGCTCAATCCCCATAGGAAAGCATTGAAAAGCATGCGCATTAGGTCTCCCCAGCCGGTGGGCGGGATCAGTCTCGCCCACCAGCTGACGTGATACAGAGGAAGAGTGGCGGAGGAAGAAGCAGCGATGTGGGACATGTCACTGCCTCTGGTAAGTTACTGAAGGGGTTTTCACCCCTTCAGCAAACGAGGATTGGGGGTGGGAGGGTGGTGGGAGGGTTAAAAGTTTATTAAGGCTCATCCTACGCTCTTGATTTCAACCTCTTGTGTAGCCATGGCAGAAGCACCTCCTGATAAGATATGCAAAGATGTATCACTAATTACATTCAGCAAACATTACAGATTGTACAGGCCTTTGAGGATGCTTCTCATGGGTGAAAAGGTCTTCAGACCATGGTAAAATATTAAAGGTCTGTCCCAGTGTTCTATTCTGCCTTTTTACATATCACGTGTTGGTACCGCTACCTCACATCTGGAAAAATAAAATTTTTACTCATTGTAAAACCGTTTCCCAAAGTGTAAGCAGCAGTACTATTTTTCTCCCTGCCTCATTTTGTGTGTATTCTTTTAGAACCCCATGAGCTTTGGTTCGGTTTTCCTTTATAGGCAATGAAAGGGGCGATGTCTAATGTATTTGTGTTTTTATTTTAGGCTACCTGTCCAGCACATAAAACAGGGCAGATACATTTTTGTTTATATTCTGTGATTTCATTGCATAACTTCTGAAATTGCATTGCATAATTAACATCCACTTATTTGTTTGTCTGGATACATACCATAGTCTTCGCAGAGTACATACAAGTGCTGTGCAGTGTGATTATTCTTTTAATAGTTAAAAAAATATCGTTCTATATGTGTAATTGCCCTAGTGTTAATCACTTAACTCCAAATTATAGCAATCTGAATGGTAACATTGAGGTTAAAATAGCTGTTCTGTAATTCTCCAACTCTGTTATAGTAGCTTTTTTAGCCTGAATTTATTTATTTAGGATTTTAATTTGCTACAATCGAATTTTGTTTTAGTGACTGTTTGATTAATGACTTGTAGCTTTTGACAATTTGGTTAACATATCTAGTAGCGCAAGACAGGTTTCTAACATTTGCATCTGACTCGCATGTCTGGGAAAAAAAAAAAAATTGTCGAACCCTGAGATTATTTGTAATCTTCTAGAATTGCCATGGAAATGCAATGTTTAATAATATGCTTCAGATTTAGCTGCTAGGGACTCTATTTTAGAGGAACTCTTTGATGCCTTGGTCACTTTGTCTTTTGTAGAGCGCTCTAGTGAGCGTTTAGATCCAGATGAACAGGCCAGAGGCCGGATGCGGCAGCAAGAAAGAGCAACACGTTCAGCTAGAATGCTTTATGTTCTACAGCAACAGGTAAAGTCATTTTTTCTTGCAGTTGTCTTTTGAGGAAACTTATTTTTTGTCTCTTGACTATTTTCTTACTATATACACTATAGCCTTTATTGCAAATGTATGGATGTACAGTCTAATTTGATGCTTTTATCGTGTAGCTCTAATTTACAGAATGATTTCCACATGGGAATACTTTTTGTGTATTAACCTATATTCTTATATCAGATTTACTTTATAAATCTGCTTTTTTATGATATTCACAACTGTTAAAGGAACTGTATACAAAGTTGTATTCCTAACACTAAGGGAACCCTCTGGCCCCCGCTCCCCGGTCATGCCTCCCAACTACAGCAAAAGGATTAACTAACGCTTATTTTGCTTACCTGATGCCAGCACTTATGTCTCTTGATGCTGGATCGGGCCCAGCCTCCGTCATCCGACGTAGGAAACCTAATGCATGTACGTGGAAATCGCTACATGCGCATTAGGCTTTTCCCATAGGAAAGCATTGAATTAATGCTTTCCTATTAGGTTTCGCAACACGCTGGATGTGTTCATGCAAATCCTGGGGACGTCCAACATTGCTTCACTATGTCAAATTCTGTGAAACTGCAGGAAACACCTCTAGTGGCTGTCTTGTAGTCTAAACTGTAATGTCTTACATTGCAGGGTTAAGAGAACAGGGACACTGCAACCAGATCACTTAAATGAGATGAAGTGGTCTGGGTGCCTATTGTGTCCCTTTAAACATAACAGATTAAATGTTAAAATGTTTTACACTTTCAAATGACTCTTGTTTAAAATGTTTTATTTATATAATATTTTTTTTTCCTTTTGTAAATGTGGAGCTTATTTTCCCCTATGAAATTTGCACTGTTCCATTTTCTGCACTATTCTAAAATCAGTGTTTTAAAATTATACTACCACTAAGCTCTATATACATTCAAGGATATTACTAAACACATATATGAAAACATGAAGTTCTACCATACCATAGGCTATGTTTGAACATGTATTGATGTAACTCATTGACCTACTTCTAATATTTAATATAATTTTGACTGATGGAGGAAACTAAACAGATCTGTCTTATGCTGAACTACCTTCTATTACTACACAGGTGAAAGAAATCCAGGAGGATTTGGAAGAGCTTAGCCCACAGAAAATTAAACACACAAAGAAAGTGAGTGTGGATGGTTTAATTGTCAAAAAAAAATCAAGCTAATAACTCTTTTTCGAAGCCTTAAAGGCTTGTTTCAGCTTTACATTGTATTATAAACTATTCTTCTGTTAAATGTTTGGGTTATAAATAATATTGCATTTGCGTAATTATAACTCTATGTGGCTAATCAGCTGCTTCTAAATCCCTTACAATCACAATATATGCAGAGCTGTATGAGAATGCCTGCCTTTTCAACTCTTGCTTTCTAACTGTTGCCAAGATGGTGATTCTTTTTTTCCGTATTATATAAGTGTCTGCAAAATTATTAAACATGCGCAATACTGTATTTCATGTCATGTCCAGGGTTTCCTGCTAAGTATGAGCTGGAGATCAGTGAATGGCTAATAGATCTCCCTCACATTCTGGCAGATTGAATCTCTGTGAAAACTGAAAAGAGATAGACGTATACAGTTCTCTTTTACATACGTAAGGCCAAAGATAAAAAGTAGTAAAACTGCCTTCGAGTTCCCCTCTTTAGTCCACAAATGTCTTGTCAGTCTCGCACAATGTCTAGATTGGCAGCTGTCCATCGAGGAGCTATTCGGGCCTTGCAGTTATTTGTCACTCAGCTGAGCGAGCGAGGAGAGCAGCAGATACCTACTCTCTATAAAGAACTAGGACACCTCATTCGCCAGCTCTCACTCTGTACTGCAAAAGTTGGAACTGGAAGTGATCCCACTGCTTCAGAAACCATTCTGTCCATTCTCCAGCAAGCCGAGGTAACATAGCCATTACTGTTCTCAGTTGAACACTGCTGTTTGATTGTGTGTATATATGTATAATGTGCAGATAAGAAGTTGTGTCCAGTTTAGTTCAAATCATAAAGCTAAATATATGTCCTGGAAAAATTAGAAAGTGTCCAATAGAATGGCGCTACGAAGGCGCCACCAAAACCCCCAAAAAGGGAATAAATCACTGAATTCTCCAAATATACAACAATACCACAAAGACACACTAGGTGGCACACTCAGCATGCAAACAAAAAGTGCAAATGCAGAATACACAAAGAAATTAATACTCTATTCGGTTATTTTCTTGGTAAATGGCTGTAAAAGAATGAACTTGACAGAGCAGTATAGTCCAAGAACATATAAATATATTTTATATATATATATATATATATATATATATATATATATATATATATATATATATAATCACAAGAGGGGTGTGTGTGTGTGTGTGTGTGTGTATATATATATATATATATATTTTAAATGAAGGCTTGCATAAAAGTTTTCTTTCTTTATTCCATATCTTGTTAAAACATAATCTCAATTAGAATCAACGTTTCAGCCATCATCCGTGGTTTTCATCAGGATCAGTTCAGCAAAAAAAAAAAAAAAAAGAAACTGATCCTGATGAAAACCTGCTGAATTGATCCTGATGAAAACCACGGACGATGGCTGAAAATGTTGATTCTAATTGAGATTATGTTTAAACAAGATATGGAATAAAGAAAGAAAACTTTTATACAAGAAAAAGACCGTGAGTGCAAGCCTTCATTTACTATTTTTCTATGATATTTGGCTTTGGCTGGAATGCACCTGGCATTTGAACAATTTGAAAGAGTGTGTGCAGGGATAAAAAGGAACATTTTATATATATATATATATATATATATATATATATATATATATATATATATATATATATATATATAATGATTATATGTTCACATCCCACGCACATGTTTTTAGAGCCTGTAAACAAACTGGCTCAGGTAAAAGCGTTTATTGAAATGGTGATGGTAGTTCAGCATTCACTCCAGCAAAAATCCTCTCTCCCATCATATTTGAATGGAAAGGCACCAAATTAGATATAAACATATCATTTATTGAACAGAAAAAATAGTAAACTCTTACATGAAAGTTCAGTCTTCAGCTACAGATGCTTTAAAAACACAACGCGTTTTAACCTCTCAGTAGGTCTTCATTAGGTGTAATGAAGTGTGTCCGATCACCTAGATGAATATATACCCCTCTAAATTAACCCGGAAACGGGTACAAGTGAGACAAGAGCCCTCCCCTCCTTCCTATATCGGATGTACCTTTGTACATAACCTATTAGATAAAATAAATTTATATCCATTAAGTTAAAATGAGATGTATAATCAAATCCTATTACTCAGCATATAAAAACATTTGCGATAATGAGCCCAGACTCCCCAGAGAGACAAAAAACCATGAGAAACCACATCAAATTCGTACAACATAAAGACCTATATTTTTATAAATATATATTAAAAATTACATATTAACATTTTTCATATTAAAAAGGCATATTATGGACACAAAAAGTGGTACAGGTATAGGTAATATGTAACTACAAACCTCAAAATCTATATTTAAACCACAGGGAGTCAAAGTGTCCATTTCAAAAATCCATTGCATCTCACTTTTATTTAGTTTTTCAGCATGGTTGTCCCCCCTCCAATCTTTTTCCACTTTTTGTATCCCAATAAAGTACACGTATTTAGGGTCTCCGTCGTGGATTTGAGAAAAATGAGCAGACACAGATGATTGAGCATCTTATTTTTAATATTACGGATGAGCGCATAAATTCTAATCTTTAAAGATCTAGTGGTCCTACCAATATATTGGAAGCTACAATCACATGTTAATAAATATATCACATTTTTGGTGTCACATATAACATATAACCTCTACCTGAACAGAGGTAGGGAAAACATTGTGATTTATTCACTAAATAAGCAAATTTTGTCAGAAAGGGGATTGCAAATGTTATGTTTAAATAGCTGTGCTTGAAAACTAGATGCTGTGGGTATTTTCACAATCTGCTAATTTGTCCTATTCCCTTGTCATTTCTTTCTGATGAACTCACGCCTATTTTCAGAAAATAAAGTAACTTCTTTCTCGTGCTCATCAGAGAACCCTTTCCCATTTAAATTTTATATTTTCTTTAATGTGAACATATGCTCAGCAGTGTGCTTCATCTTTGGTATTGAGTTAATTTCTCTGCAAGCATTTATAGAACCAACATTTTTATAGTTCAGTATGTTGCACAACTTTCATGCTGTACGTAACCTCATTATACACTTTGCAGCTACTGCTTGAGCTTGTGCACAGCTGCAGAGTGTGCTGTTAACAGGCGCACACACACAGTCCTGTGCACATGGGAATTTCTCAATAAACAACCATTAAGTATATAATTACCCATTATTTATGTACAATAACATGCTTACTTATATTCCACTAATGCATAAATTTCCATTTTATTATGGAAATGTATCTGTAATTTAAGATATGGAGTACTGAAGTGATTACTACTTCTATAAATGGTCACATTTTTCTATGTTGAAAATGTCTTGTGTTTATCAGTATTTCCTATTAGTACAAATACCTTCTTCCATTGTTCCACATGTTAAGGGGACACTGTAGTCGTCACAACAACTACAGCTTAATGTATTTCTTCTGGTGAGCTTAATCAGTCCCTGCAAGCTTTTTGCAGTAAACACAATCTCTTTTCAGAAAAAAGGCAGTGTTTATATTACAGCCTAGGGACACCTCTAGTGGCCAGTTCTCAGATAGCTACTAAAGGGTGCTTCCTGGGTCAATGCTGCACAGTGTGGAGTACTGCCAGTCAGTGTCTCCACCCTCTGCATGGAGTCACTAAACTTTTCTCATAGAAATGCATTGATTCAATGCATCTGTATGAGGAAATGCTGATTGACCAGGGCTGCATTTGGCCCCGCCTCCAACTTGCTTCCTTGTCTGAAATCATCAGACTTGATAATGTTTGGCTGTGATAATCTCTTCTGAAGATGTCAGCCAAGGAGGCAGATCAGGGAGAGAGCCAGCACCAGCAGAATTGCAGTTTAATCCTGAAGTTGGTCCTCTGGCATACTTTCTTCCTCTCTGTGCCACAATATGAGGAAGTTTATTTAGGCAGCGGGAGATATGTTGAGATTATCTACTGATGCTGTATGCCTGTCACTGGCCAGCTGTCTAAATGTTCCTTGTTCTTTGGCACAGAGAGGGGGCATCTGTGTTGTGCACTGGAGGAACGACTTCAGGTTCAAACTGTTAAAATCCTTAAGCTAAGACCACGCTCAAACATTTCAGTGAGATGAAATTGTGATAGGGTTGGTAGTATCTCTTTAATATTTTTATATTACAGATCAAGATAAGTAGACATAAGAACATACAAAGGGTATTCCCTAAATTGAGAATTGCTGTGAGTTTAAATTGAGTTTCAAATTTTAAGTCAGAATAGCTTCCAGTTTGGTTACTTTAGCCCCAAATTTGAAATTGACTTTAGATTCTCATTTTCATGAATAGCCCTGATTATCTGTAAAATACAATGAAGCAATATCCTTAAAATATTAGATGTGCCAATAACATAATGCATTCACAGATTAAAAGACACTATTTGTTTCTCCCCATATCCGCTATTCCTTTATATAAGTATTATACATGTGTAGTGAGTTGGCTGGATTCTTAGAAACAACAATGTAAAAAAGCAGTATTGTATATTTGAATGTAAAGCAAACACAAATATTTATTGTAATTACTCCATTTACATGGCTAACCTTGGCATTTCAATCTTCGTGTTTCGCATTGGTCTAGGGTGCAAAATGTAATCCATCAATAGTTTATGCTACTGATGTTTCACTATTATTAGGATAGGGACACTCTCATTGGTTAATGTGTTATATGTGGTTAACCCTTTGGGGTAAATTATATTATTTAAATTTTTGTTGAATATTTACAGTATCTCTCTCTTTTGCTGCTGAGGAATAAAGAAAGAGAATAAGCATAATAGGAGCCTCCGTGTCCTTTAATGAAATCTGTTAAACATTAAATTAAACTTTGGAATCCACATTGCTGAATTTTTCTGTCCTTCGCGTCCACCTTGGCTCCTCTATCAGTCATTATATATGTTTCCCTTTTCTGCAATTAAACATAGTAAAGGAGAAGCGACAAACAATATTTCTGTTTCTCATTTTCATGGTGTCCCCTGGTTGTACAAGTTAATTTTCTTTTGATTTTTTTTTTTTTACATTTTATTCAATAGTGTAATTGGCAGAGAAGTGGTAATTCTCCTTTGACTGGACATGGTGACGTGCACATGTTAAATGTTAATCTGGGAGTGCATTAGCAGTTTGTTTTCAGTGAGTATTTACTAATATAATGGTTGATATAACTTCTTCAGGATTTAGATCTCCTCCTGGAGCGCAAAATCTCCTCCCACATAAGAAGACAATCGCCACGTTTTTCTACAAGTAGATCTCCATCTACTGGAAAGGGATCAAACTGTGACACTCCTGCTGGATCTCCCACCAGGAATAAAAAATGTCCACCTCCAGTCTTAAAGCAACGTGACGCTAGCCAAGAGAAATGGAAGGATGTGAAGAAACGCCTTGTTGTTGGTAAGTATGTTTTACCTGCTACTAACTTTATATTAGTAAGTGTGAAAACACATTAGCTTCTATTGTCTTTCCATCTCCTTTTTTGAGTGTAGATAGTTAATGTTGGGCGTAGATTCAGCAATTGTAGATTCCGTGATTGGGGTCTTCCAATAAATAACACAGATTGCTTTGACAATTGTAGCTATGAATCTTTTATCAATTATCAAATAGTTTGTTATATTGGAACGTATATACCCTCATATAAATAAAAAAAACAGTCAGCTGGCTGAATACATTGCCAGCAGTAAAACCTAAATTGTTAATACTCTCCTAATCAATAGAGCGCCAGTACACGCTCCATTCTTTTTCTTAACATTACTGTCCCCTTAAAAGTTGCACTCCTTTCATGCTGTACGTAACATCATTGTACACTTTGCAGCTACTGCTTGAGCTTGTGCACACAACACTCCACACAACAAAGCAAATAAATACATTGAAAATAACCAGGTGTATGTGCACAATATACAGTATAACACAATATATAAAAAGTGAAACAATTATAATATTACCCACTCTGCATCAAATTCCTACAATAAAGCACACTATAAAAGCTTAGAGCGTAGTATGCCAGAGTTAACAGGGTATACATAGCATATATAGATTCACTCACATACTGCTGAGTCACTTGGAAGTGGACTCAGACTTTTATAGAGGCGGAATAGGAATCTTTATGATGTATTCAAAGGACCTACCTCCCAGCTTCTATTGTTTCATGGAATATCCACGTATTTATATTCGTGTATATATAAAATTGCAGAATCTCAAGTAGAGCTGCTGTGGATATTTCATGGCACAATAGAAGCTGGGGAGGTCCTTTCAATACACCTTAAAGATTTCTATTCCTGCTCTATAAGTCTGAGTCCACTTCCAAGTAACTCAGGAGTATGTGAGTGAATCTATATATACCCTGTTAACTCTGTCATACTATCCTCTAAGTTTTTATATGGTGCTTTATTGTAGGAATTTGATGCAGAGTGGGTGGTAATATAATTATTTAACTTTTCATATATTGTTTTATACTGTACATTGTGCATATACACTTTCACTGGTTATTTTTAATGTATTCGCTCTCAGACTCTTTTCACAACAAATTGGATTGTTCTGTTATGTATTACTGGATTGGAAAGCATGCTCCACACTAGATTGATACAAATTGAGTTAATGAGGCAGCAGATGAAATACAGGTTATTTTCTTGGAAATCTTTTCTAGAGAACACAAATGAATCTTTGACTACAGCAACCCAGACTGACCCCGTAAACATGGAGAACCCTTCCAGCCCCGAAAGACGTGAGGCCCTGCAATCTGCGATGAAAGCTTTAGTACAAGCTGGTGGTCTAAAAGGGATTTCCAAAACAGAGGTAGCACAACACAGGCGCAAAGGAGTGTTGCTTCCTCATAGACCCCAGGTAGGTACTGCAGCACACAACTATATTTGTACTTTCAGGAACAATTTTGTTGAAATTGTGTTGCTTTGTACAGACATGATATGATAATAAGTTGGCATCCATTGTTTCATATTCTTCTTTTTTATTTTAGAAAAAAAAAATCAATTATCACATTAGAAAATAACCGAAAATAGCAGAAAAATTAAAATACAATTTCTCATTAGGGATTCCGTCATCCACGGACTGACCTATCACAACAAGCACATTTTCAGAAGAAAACTGTGGCGTTCGCATTGAAAGAGAATCGGCCACCTGTAAGGGAGAAGAAAATCCCATGGGTACCCACTAATCCAACATCTCCATCAGCTTCCCCAAAAAGGTGATTTCCCTATTACGTCCAAGCTGCAGTGATCGCAGATGGGATGTTGTCCGTTCTCCCTCCCTCATAGGACATTTGGACAGGTAGAACTGAGAAGTTTGAAAACAAAATGCTGCCTCACACCCATACACTTTCCCATCTAGCACTATAAACAGCAACACCGACCTCAACTCCTCAGTGATTGCCTGTTCTTATGACATAGAGGTTAGGTAGTATTATCTTCTTGTTTTTATTTTATGTGAACTATCAGTTGATAGTCTGATGTTGCAAGCAACAGTTTTTTTTTTTTTGTTTTTTTTTTACTTTGTGGTGTTGGTGGCTCCTAATGCGAAATAGTCTTGCTATAAGCCCTCCAGCTGGTTGCTGATTTAGGAATTGCAGGTAATACTGTTAAAAATGAGCAACGTCTCCTGGACATTGTTTTAAAATGGAACAGCCACTATGGATATCAATAGAATGTGCCTGCTGATTACTTTTAGTACCTTCAGTATTGCTATTTACATGCCGTTCTTAAAGGGATTCATTCTGACAAGAAAGCCTCTTGTAGTTATAGTTTTATTTAATGCCATTTCCTTTTACACAGGATTAATTTGGATAGAGAAAAGAAAAAAAACAATTCTTTGCCAAAGAAGCCGGAGCATGATGAGATATCGGAGCACAAAGAACCAGAGACGACATCCACTGTACCTACAGAAGCTGTGAGGTGTGTTCTGCTGCTTGACTTAAACACTAGAGCTGTATATCTGTCTGCAGTAAATATTACTTTAAGTACAAATTAGTATATATACAATCCATTAACATTCATGTATTCTTCTTTGTTGTCACAGTTTTTTACAGCAGTCTGGTTCTGTTTTATTTTAATCCCTAGCAGGGATTCAAATGGAAAAAGTTTTATGTAAATTGTCTTTTACAGGAAATGCAGTATTTTAGCAAATTTAAGATAATGGTGAACAATAAATGACTCCTATTATCTGATCATTTTAAAGACATGTTAGATTAGTGTTAACTCGTATATTTTCCCTAACTTGTTCCTACTGATTATCTCATGCGTTATGAGATACCTTTCAGTAATCAGGACTTCCCTGCTCTCTCAGGTTGGCATGGTTAGATGCTGAAAGCGCAAGGAGAACGCAGGAGTTGAGCGATCTGTACCAGGAAGAAATTTCCCACATTCGGAATCTCAGGTGTGCTTTACAATTAAAATATTAAGAATATAAACCTAAGGTGGTTAGCTCCTGAATTTGGTAGGTCCCATAAAGCTTCTCATTCCCAGTACAGAGCTGCCCACTTTCAAGCTATATGTGGACTAAAAGTGGCATATTGTTTATATATAATCATCTGATGGATATGCTGTTCACCACTTGCCCTTCATTTATAGCCCCACTACGCTGTAATGTGGTAAAACTCTGGAGGAAATAAAATTGGACAAGATTTTTCCCAGTTTGCATAGAATTACTATCTGCAATAATATGAGTGAAAGCTGCTATATAATAATATATACTTTGGTTTTTTTTGTACCCTAAAAGCATCACTATATAATTCAGCAGTGTCACCTTTGCTAGGTGATGTTGCAAAAGTGACAGCCTGCTTGGTGGAAATGCCTGCAAATAGCCTCTATTTAAAATTGGTTTCAAGTATTAAACTATTCAAATTGCACTTTGAACATGGCCACAGCCTTTGGATGGGTGGTAATGTGTCACTTCCACTGAGCTTCATATACAAATAAAATATAGCACTTGCTTGCCATGGAGCATATACCTACTTCAAGTGACCATACATACCACATTCTATGATTTATGGTTTCCATGGATGATGCATAGACTGCTCCAGATTGTGCAATACAGATTTTAACCCTGTGAGAGTTTCTATTGTAGCCAGATACAGGGCCAGATTAAGAGCCCAGTGGGCCTGGTGCTGACAATTACGACGGGCCTAATTACAGAATCATATCGACCAAAAACAGTAAAAAACTCCCAAGCGTTATGTATCTGATGGAGATGGTGCTGGAGAGCAAGAAAACAGCAGCTATAAGAAAATCTCGGCTAAAATCTAGGCTAATCTCTCACTAATTTATGTTTTCATCTTTCAAGTAAATCCATAACCCCTAACAGCAGTGTCCAGTCAAGCAGGAAGTCAACGGGCATGGTAAAAGGGTGTGCCACTGACAGCCTGGTTTGACTGCATGTCAGGCTTCCTGCCAATCATGCAGCTGGCCACCTAAGGGCATACAGACTGCACAATCATGCAGACAGCACCCTGAGCTTGGCATCTAATGATGCGCTCGCTCATCGCTTTCTAAGGACTGCCCCCTAGCACTCGCTGGTCCACTTGTCTCCTTACCTTCTTACTAGCAGGCAGAAGCTCCTGGTATATAGTCTGGGACAGAGAAAAGCTGTATGTAGTGAGTGTAGAAGAAAGGGAACATGCCACAGTGTTAGAGAGACCAAAGTCAGCATTACCTTAAAGGATCACTATAGGGTCAGGAACACAAACATGAATTCATGACCCTATAGTGTTAACACCACCATCTAGCCCCCCTGGGCCCTAATGCCTCCATAAATATAGCAAAATCTTACTGTATTCAAGCCTGAAGCTGTAACTCTGCATGCTGTTAGACTCAGAAAAACAAGCAGTCTGCTGACATCATTAGAAGTGGTGGCCTAATCCAATCACAGTGCTTCCCCATAGGATTGGCTGAGACTGACAAAGAGGCAGATCAGGGGCAGAGCCAGCATGATTCAAACACAGCCCTGGCCAATCAGCATCTCCTCATAGAGATGAATTGAATCAATGAATCTCTATGAGGAAAGTTCAGTGTCTGCATGCAAATTGAGGAGACACTGAATGTTTGGATGCATTTTAGGCAGCCATGACCCAGGAAGGATCTCTAACAGACATCTAACTAGTGGCCAGTGAAGTTATCACTAGGCTGTAATGTAAAGACTGCATTTTCTCTGAAAAGACAGTGTTTACAGCAAAAAGCCTGACGGTAATGATTCTACTCACCAGAACAAATTCAATAAGCTGTAGTTTTTCTGGCGACTCTAGTGTCCCTTTAACTATATCCATTGTCAGCCAGTCCACACAAGTTTTGTTCCCATACATCCCTCTTAAGTTTCCATACTTAAGTAAGAGTATGTGTAAAGTAGTTAGGGTTGCCACCTTTCTTAGAAAAACACACCGGCCTTGCTAATTTGCATAATTAAATATGTATGGGTGACATCACATGATGTAAATCACAAGGAGTGACATAAGAGAAAATGCTGTAAAATTACCAAAAAACTACTTAGTTTGATTCTGCTGTATAGATGGATTCCTCCCAGTGCCCCCATGTATCCCAGCATCGATTACCCCAGGTCTCAGTGTTCCTATGTATCAGTGTCTCAGTGCCTCATGTCTCCCAGTGTCCCCTAGTGTTGTGTCCCCTGGTCTCCCAGTGATCCTATGTATCACAGTGTCTCAATGCCCCATGTCTCCCTGTGTCCCCATGTATCCTAGGGTCCCCATGTCTCTAGGAAGATGGGAAGACCTCGGGACACGGGGAGACCTAGGGACACTGAGACACCAGTGACAATGGGAGACTACGGGACTCTGGCTGGGACGCATGGGGACACTGGGAAAATAGGGGACGCTTGAAGACATGGGGACACAGACACCAGGGACACAGACACTAGAGACACTGGCTGGGGGACATGGGGACATTGAGACATGGGGATAAGGAGACAAGGAGACACCAGGGCCACAGACACTAGGGACACTAGCTTGGGGACATTGAGACACTGGGAGACATGGAGGCACTAGGAGACATGGGGACAGTGAGACACTGGCAGACTGGGGGCACTGGGAGACTAGGGGGCACTGAGACACCAGGGACACTGGCTGGGAGACATGGGGACACTGTGTCCCCATGTGTCTGTGTCATAATGTCCCTTAGTGTCTGTGTCCCCATGTCGCTTTGCAGCCTTTCCCCCCATCCCTTACTTCCCTGAGCTGTAGGCTGTCTCTGCAGGGTGGGAGTTGCTGTCTGGACTCTCTGTAGCTGCACCCCTGCAGATCAGTGAGTATAGATAGGCAGGGAAGGATATGCTGGAACGTCCTATCCCTGCCTGTCTCCACACACAGTGACCCCTACTGGCCAGTGCTGGTATTGCATAGTAATCTCTTGTTTATACTGAGAAAAATACCAGCATTTGTATTGCCAGTATCACTGTAATATTGGCACCATCCAGGCAGTCTCAAATACTGGCTGTGCCAAAAAAATAAAAGCCAGGTGGAATCCCTAAGAGCAGTGTGTTGGGGAATTTTTTTTTTTTTTCATATAAATCAATGGGCCTATCCCATGGGCCAGGGCCTGGAGCTGCAGCTCCATCAGCCCCTATGTTAATCTGGCCCGATAAGAATAACTGATTCAAGTGTGAGGATTGTTGTATAGGAAACAAGTGTCTCTTTTTTTTTTTCCACTTCATGTTCATTTCTACAACATACAAGATCCAGTGCACGCACGCACTCACTCACTCAATAAACTGCAATTTCAAAGTATGTGTTCATACATTGTAGTAGTAGTGGTGGTGTGGAGACCGGCTCAGGCACTGAAGGTAGTGGTGTTGTGGTGACAGGCAGAAGGCAGAATATTTGTTAGTCCTAACCTCAACATCTGAGGAAAGGGATTTAGGGGTGATTATTTCTGATGACTTAAAGGTAGGCAGATAATGTAATAGAGCCACAGGAAATGCTAGCAGAATGCTTGGTTGTATAGGGAGAGGTATTAGCAGTAGAAAGAGGTAAGTGCTCATGCCATTGTAAAGAACACTGGTGAGACCTCACTTGGAGTATTGTACGCAGAACTGGAGACCGTATCTTCAGAAGGATATTGATACTTTAGAAAGAGTTCAGAGAAGGGATACTAAACTGGTTCATGGATTGCAGGATAAAACTTACCAGGAAAGGCTAAAGCATCTTAACATGTATAGCTTGGAGGAAAGACGAGACGGGGGGATATGATAGAAACATTTAAATATATAAAGGGAATCAACACAGTAAAAGAGGAGACCATATTTAAAAGAAGAAAAACTACCGCAACAAGAGGACATAGGCTTAAATTAGAGGGGCAAAGGTTTAAAAATAATATCAGGAAGTATTACTTTACTGAGAGGGTAGTGGATACATGGAATAGCCTTCCAGCTGAAGTGATAGAGGTTAACACAGTAAAGGAGTTTAAGCAAGCGTGGGATAGGAATAAGGCTATCCTAACTATAAGATAAGGCCAGGGACTAATGAAAGTATTTAGAAAATTGGGCAGACTAGATGGACCGAATGGTTCTTATCTGCCGTCACATTCTATGTTTCTATAAGCCTGCCACAACGTCAATGTACACCATTCTTGGCAGGTCCTACTCTAGCAACCTAATGCCTGCTCTTATGAAATTAATCCACTTGCTTGGGAAATGCTCCCTCCTGGGACTCTGCTGTGCAATGTTAAATATGCCCATGGAATTAGGCTGCACTCACCTGAACATGCATACATTATAAGGGTGGCAGGACTATGTAATGTATGGCCATACACTGTAACTATATATGCTTTCAAGCATCAAGTTTGTAATTTTTAACATGGAATATTAAAAGTTATGTGTTTAAAACGGTGAGTGCTGACTACCCTTCCTATCTGTTGCATACACCTTTTTCCAAAATCCTTTTAATCTACTTGTACCACCCTGATGTTCCCTTTTCTCTGTGATGTCCTTTACTGATGTGTTTTCAACGGAAGTTGCTCTGCATTCTATTTACGAAGCCTAGAATTTAGTTCTGAGCTGGTTAAATAATAATCAAGCTTCCCCACGTAATTCAGTGCAGACTCCATTCAACTCTTGGTAATGCCATTGGAACAGAGATGCAAAGTGGCAACATGTATAATTAAATTTACCATTGTGCAAGATTTCAATGGCCTCTGTAAATTGTGTTACACATTTCAGCATATTTTTAGGGTTTGAGGAACTCTAAAAATAAAAGCTTGATTTTAAGTCTTAGTATATCTCAGAGGAACCTGTATATTAGTTGTAAAATCTCATTCATTAAGCCAATCATTTTCATTACAATTTTATAAATTGTAAAACATGCTCTTTTTCTGTTTTCTTAGGGAGGAAGTTCTCCAAACAAGCAGATTGTCAGGCAGTGGCATGCAAAGTCAACAGGTAATGCTGCTATAATTAAAAAAAAAATGCAGTTCTATTATATAAACTGTAGTACACTAAATAATCTTGAGTGTTTCAAATTAATCGGTTACTCCAACCAAAAAATAGTGTTTTATGGAAACACTGTTTTTGGTCAGTGTAAACTTTCCTATATTGGTGGTTCCCCCCACCCCCAAAAAAACCCAAAAATAATAAAATTAAGAAAATCCCTAAACTTACCCTTATTCCAGTGACGAGGCCAAGTTCTCACTGAATCTCAGATCCTCTGCTGACATGACTCCAACTTGCCGGATAGGGACAGATGTTAGGGAGTGCGGGTTGAGGGGAGGACATTAATAGTATGCCATTGGATGTCTGGTGCTAGTGTGCTGCTGGCTTCTGACACCAAATTTGCACAGAATTGACATTACCCCACTCTGTATGTAAATGGCACATACGATTCATAGTGAAACACTGCACATAGACACTCCAGGCATCATGACCACTTAAAATCATTTGAGTAGTAATGGTGTTTGGGTAACCCTTTAAGCCAACATGTTACAAAGCATAATTTCTGTGTCCCTCTTGTGCTCTTTGATCTTAATTTCCAGCTTTTATTTCAAGGCCCCAAACTTGCCATACAAGTTATAGGGCATTTAAAATCCTTGGGGTTTATTTAAAGTACTTGGTGACTGATAAAAACCAAAAACAAAAAAAACAAAACATAGGGATGTAACTTTTAGCCTACTAGCACCTGTACTAATACCCCCCTGGCACATTAACCTACTGCAATAAGCTGTAGTGTTTATGGTGCTCTGAATTTCACTTTAGGATCTGGGAAGTAATATGTTATTACAACCATTCATTACATTTGTTCTAATATTTGGTCTATATTTTTGATTGCACAATGGTTAATAACCATTTTCGTTAAATGGTTTTCTTTTTTGTATAGACCTTTAACCACGGGGACCTGCCTGGCAGAGGAATAGATCATATTTTGCAAGAATCAGACCAATTGAGCAGAGGGCAGAATTCAGCAATCTTACTTCATAACAGTGATTTGGAGACCATGATTCAAAGGATGGAGGAGATAGAGGTGAGTATTCAGTGTATATACTCTTAGGTTTTTAGTATAGTAGTGGCAAAATAAAACACATGTTTTGTACTTTAGATGTACCATTATAATATTGGTACAAGGACCATAAAGCACTTCAGCTTTTTTTTTTTAATACAAAGGTACAGATTTTAATAGAATATGGCACTTTTGTAAATTGACCTGATTACACCCCCTGGAGATCAATCAGACAACCGGTCCTGTTACTTGCTGGTAAGTTATTTCAGTGGAGCTAGCCTGAAGAGCAAAGCATTTGCTCAGAGCACCTACCTTGCATAGACTTCTCGTTGAGCTGTATTGAGAAGTCTGCGATTAGACAGCCAGAGAAAGTCTAGGCGGTGTTAGAAGAGGAGGGCTTACAAAAGCTTCAGATTTTACAAGATATTGTTAGAAATAAAAAAATGCACAATTAAATGCAAGCAAGTTTTCATGGGGGATTTATATATGAAACAACAATTTCTATTTATTTATTGTATTTGGACATTGGAATGTTCCCTTATAGTGAACTACCTAGTGAAGTGAACCTTTGTAATCACAGCAGCCAGTGGAAGCGTTTTTGTTGTGCATTAATCCATTCTAATACTGTGTGAGCACAGAGCTAAGCAAGTGTGTAAAAACAAAACAAAAACATTGTTAAAAGGAAAGGGAGACTTGTGATGTTTCTTCTTCCTGAACCTGTCTCTTCTGGTAGACAGTCCCATTAGCTCCTGGTTCAGCTCTTAATACAAAACTCTTTATGTGGATTATAACATAATTACCCCAGTTTAAAGGGACAGAGTGAGTTACTAAAATCCTTAAAATAGGAAAAGTCACTGCCCAGGATTTCTAATTGTATATTTGTCCACATATATTTTTTAAATATGTAATTGTTGAGTGTCAGAAATAAAATTAAATATAGAATTCCACTCTATTTTATCCTGCAACTAGGTACCTCTGGCAGTCAACAAAGAGAAAGCATACGTAATAGATGAGAATTGAAACAGTTTCAATTTCTTTTGTTTATTAGCAATGTTTACCCTGACTGTGACTTGGCTGGACTAGTTTATGATAGTATTTGCTAAATTCTTATTTTAAAAGAAAACCGAAGGTTTAAGTAAAATTGATGAGCATAAGTTATTAGTGATCTCTCAATGTTTTATTATATGGTGTAATTTCCAGAGAAATTAGTTTCCCTTTAACCTCTATATGACAAATCACTTGCTGGAATTGACCTGATGCAAAATGCTTTGCCTAATCCTAGTCATAATAAGTATTAATGCTGGAGCAGCTTGGCATTGTTTTCAGAGAATCATGTAGGGTGCAGACAATGTCTCTATCTTGTGTATAGTTAGAGATTTCTCTAATTGATAAAATATTGTATATTCTTATTACTTATGAGTCCATGCATCATATTTACTATACCATGTGTTTATTTGTTTTACTCAACAGAGATCTCAGGAAATTGTTCGACAAAGATGCAGTAGGATTGTGTATGCGGATCCTGAATTTTGGGCTCAGGAAGAAAAAGGTTGAAAAGTTTTATTTATGAGAAAAATACCATAATGAAACTTCTACCTGCAATCCAAATTCAGTTTAATAATGGTAATGTTGTTCCATATAGACAAAGAAAGTGCGGGCAGACAGCAAATCCCTCGCTCTCCTCATCCAATCAGGATCACCAAAGACGAAGACCATAGGGAACCAGTTGTAGACATAGTGCTAGAGGAGCCTTTTGAAGGAGAGTACGTATCACATATTATTGAATATCATGGAACAGTCCTACAGAAAACCCCCCCAGATGTTTTGTATATATTGTGTATATTATTTCTGTTTTGAGATTTGCCTCTATGTTCCAGAAACAATAGCTTAAAATAGCTGTGTTTCTGCAACAGTTCCAGAATGCCGTGCTGAATCCATGTATTTCCAACCCACGCTTCTGTAATCTTTCTTTGCAATGACCTGTACTTTTATAACAAAGCTTTGCTTTCCACAGTCATGGCTAGCTTTAAATAATTTATGTTATACATGTGCTAGATTGTTGGTATTTGTAACATTTTGTTTGACACTAAATTTAATGTTAAAGTTTTTAAGTATGGTATGGCCACTCTTTAGATCTGTTGAGCTTTAACCCTATGCATGAATCGCTGTTCGTTTCTGATTTACACTTGGCATTCACTTTAAAAAACACTGTAGATAGTTTGCGTGTTAGAATGTTATTAGCCGCATTTACTATTCTTCAATGCAGCTTTGTTTCTTTTTCATCTTTTGTATTTTTACAAATTTAAGTGTTAACTATTTAATGTACTTTCTGAGTTCATTAAATATATTGAACATGATAGTTCTCCAACAGCTGTAGATCTACAAGTATCATGATACTTAGCAGTTATCCTAAAAAGAAATGTATCTGGCTGCCTGGTTTAACGTTCTACAGCTGTAGAACTGCATTTTGGTTGTTATTGATTGATAGAATATTTGGTTATCATGTATTCTAAACCTGCCGTCCAGTTTACTAAGTTTAGAAATCCTTCATTATTATGATTATTTTACCCAATGCTTACAGGTACTGAGTGTAATGCCAATAGGTGTTTCCACAAACCTAATGATAATGTCCTTGGCTTTAGGTACAAGTCACAGATATCCAATATTAAATATCATAGATAACAAACTATTCTGCACAAGAACATCCCATTTGCTTATGAAATATTATATTATAACTACCGTTTTAACATTACGACGTTCTGCTAATGTCTTTAAGTTCACTGCAAATGGCCAGGGAAGAATTGGCCAGAAGTTCTCCACAACCTTTGCCACAGAAACTGACAGGTCGGCATCAAGACCTCATACCTATCTCTGTTCCAAAACAAATGCTTCAAAGCATTCAAAATTATACTGAAACTTTTGAGCGACACCTCCGACTGACATCCAATGAGGTGTTGAACAACTTCAACCCATGGCACATCTCAGAAAGGTAAATCTTCTTTATAGGTCCTTATTTGGGAAGGTCTATATTTTGAGTGAAGTATAAAATGTTTTATTGTTTTAAAAGTGGTGTTTGGTAAACTTATGTGTTCTATTTGACATTTTAAAATCACCTACTTCAAATCTACAAGTGTGTTCTAGCCAGTTTCACTACTTGAATCTACTTTGTGAGAGTTGACAAATGAAAATTCTGTTTCCCACTTTCTGTTCTGAAAGTATGCATTCTCTAAGTGTGATGGTGTCTATATCATTGCATTCGGTACCGTATTACATCATGTGCGTTTTTTTAGAATCAAAATGTTTTAAGAATTCTAACCTGTGTCCAATCAGAATTGCAAACCGTTGTAGCTTTAAAGGGACAAAGTCAACAATAATATAAAGAAGTTTTTACATTTTGCATATTTACCTGATGATGGGCAAGTTTCAATTAGCCTCTAGGATGATTTCCACCTTTCTACCTCTATGGCAGGTTTTTATAACCTTTTTTGCTATGGACCGTTTTTTGCTGTTGAGCTACAATCTAATCTTTTAGAACAGTCCTCTATGTATGGAATGACTAAACATGATGGAAGTTTATGGTCTACCACTCTATTGCTTAATTTTGTTGAATAACCCTTGAAATTAGCTTAAAATAATGCAAATAATTAACAATTTCTCTTGCTTTCCAGCATAGCAGAAGAGCTTTTTGAAGAAGCATTGGGCGAGGTGGCTTCAGAATTGCAAGATATGTGTGAGGGTTATTCTGAGGCTATATACACTTCGGAGTTCCTGGAGCCTGTTGCCCCACATTAAACATATATGGACTTACTTTTCAGAACCATTTCCCTAGCATTTTTTTTTTTTTGTCATTTCTGTCGTCTGTGTGTGTGTGTGTGTGTGTCCTTGTGTTTTGTTACTATACATTTTAATTCTGTGCTTAATATAATAAATTTGTACATGCCAGCTGACTATTACAGTATGACAATGATGGTTTTATTATAACGTTAAGCCATTTGCCTGGCAAAAGACCTTGGCAACCATTGTCCAAAACAGGTGAGATACTAAAGTGTCATTGTCATGTACATGCCATTTATACCTCTGATATAGTTGATATTGCAAACAAGTTGAGTTGGCAATGGTTCTTCTAGATCGTGTATGTTTAATCGTGATGTTTAAATTGTTGGATTACAGTTAACAGACAAGGGCAGGAACAGGGTGACCCTAACTCTCACTCTGTTATTTGATGGTGCCATGATGTATTTGACAGAAATACAAGTCTGAAGTCTGCTTCTCTTTTTTCTAATTCTACAAATCATTGATTTTCCATTTTTGTTTGTCCTTGTCCGGTAATTTGCGCTATAATGCATTCTACCATTACCGCAAGGTTCAGCATCCAAAAAGGTAATATACTGGGTCCATCTGGGATAGTGGAATAAGTCTATTACTTTTGATCATTTCATGGGTTTTTGGACACAGAGTTAATCTGGTGAGCCAACATTATTTCTCTGCTTGTAGAGCCTCACATTTTGCTCCTATTTTTCAATATTTGATATTTTGATATTTTTTTTTATATTTATCTATATATCTATAGATATATACATATTTTTTTTTTTATATAATTCGTGGCTATAATTCTCTAGCAAATGGCTTTGTTGACATGGAAACCTCAATATGGACTATTATGCTATTTTAATTTTGTAAAGTGTTTGGTTTTTTTCTGGCGCAGCTGTAAAGTTGGAAAAGGTCTATGTCAATGCATATAAAGCTGAGATGATGAGATGCAGTATACCATACTCTATAACTTTTGAAGCATATAACCGGTTCAAGAACATACTAAAGAATTTTACTGTATTTGTGGTCCAGAGTATTAGAATTGCACACTTGCATTCGTTCAAACGAACTGCGATTCAGCTGAATTTTGATTGATTGTCCGAATTCCATGCCTCCAAAGCACCATATTGACACATCCACAAAAAAATATATAATTTGTAATTCTGAGTTTCTTCTTTTTGTTGGCGGAAAAGGGGGGAGGTTGTCAAATAAACAGCTTAGTTTGCCATGTTGGACAAGAGGTCTGCCCAATGATGTGGGCTAGATCTCCTGTCCAATCATGAGCTGGTTGAAAAACAACAAGAATTCCAAGCAGGCAATCTTCTAGACCCTTTCACTCAAGATATTGAGAGAGACAGACTAACAGGGATTTAGTAGTTTTACCCTTGCTGTGCCTGTCATGGAGTGGTTAGGTTTAGGTTACTACTGTGTCTGCATAGTTCATAGTGCTACTTAACGTTAGTGTGAGTGTGAGATAGAAAGTCTGAGTCCTTGATCCCAGTGTGCGACTGGTCAGGTTAGTGCTGTGCTTAGCCAGTAGCAAGTTCAAGTGACAAACCAACTTTAAATAGGATTCTGGTTAACTGATGCTAGTGTGAGAGTGGAGATGGTTTGAAACTATAAATGACGTACAGTTATGGTGTGTTACTATCATCTAAACAGCTTTCCATCTGCCAAATCTCAATGGTAAATTGCTCAGGAACTAAATTGCTTCTTAGCAATTATAGCAGGTGATTTTTGCATCTCTTTGTAAGGTTTGACTCTGCAAATATGAATCCATATGGCTGATGTCCATGTTTACCTCACCAAAGGTTTATTTTTCTAACCAATAAAACTCTGTAACTAAAAATGTGATCAAAACATATCCCTTTTTATTTAAATTTTCTTTAAAACTGTGATTATAATGCAAAGGCATTTTTGGTTTTGCTTTACATTAGTATTTTCTGAAATCCTTAGACACGGAGATACCTGTAAAGTGTTTTGTGGAATTTAAGTATATACTAGTATTTTTTAAAAATCGTCACTTGGTTAGGTTTAACTTTAATAAACTGATCAACAGGCAAATGCAATCGGTGCATAGAATTTTTGGGTTCCTACGTAGCAAACAAACAAACAAACAAAAAATGAAAACCACTGTGCATTATTTGAACTGTGAAAATTCTCAGGTTTTTTCATACTCTGCTTGTAAATGAAATTTATATGTAGATACCATCTACTACAAAAAAAGTTTCAGATCTGTTTTATGTATATTTTAAATAAACAATAATTTATTACAATAATGTGTTTTTTGTTTTGTTTTTTTCCAAGAATAATTTTCTTATATGTGGGATTCCTAACTTTCAGCAAGGACAAAGGTTCCTAATGCACGCAAAAATAGTGATGCTCTACGCAGCGTCTGTCAAGTTGTCTGTCAAGTACCAACCTGTTATTCTTGTTTTGCTTATATAGAGACTGATGATGATCATTTCATTGCTTCATTTTGCCATGAGTCTATTGCTATTACACTTTAGTATGTTTAATAATTTTATTACACAAGCTTGCTGGATTTACCATACTAATGACTAACCATATCCAGACTAGATAACACATTTCAGGTAATAAGGTACAGGAAAGGCTACACACCGATTTTTCACAACTATTTTCCAGTATTTGAAGTTGTCACTTCTTACACTATATTGACACGTATAAAGAAAATGTTCTAAAATGATCAAGTTCTAATTTGAAACTTTTAGTGTTTTTTTTTTTTATTTCTTGTAAGTTCAACATCACATATAATGTGCATGAACTTCAATTTATTTTTTATTTTTTTAGGGGGGTTGTTTTGTTTTTTTTGTCTGCTACTGTTTTTCTTATGGTAGTATCCTTCCAAATCTTATAATCAGGATGCCTGAGAGCATCAGCTGACGCTACCAGCAATGCCCGGTCAGAGGCTTACTGAGTGAAGTTTCAGACTGAAACGGAAGTGAAATGGCTGAGCAATTGGGTGCCAGAATGAATGCTCTGAGGTTAGACCATTCATTATCGGTTAAACCCCAAAAGGTAGCCAGCTTCCAGGACCTCTTTGCACCATAACAACTTAATTTTGATGCACTTGTTATGTGTCCGGAGTGTCCCTTTAACAGTGCTTTGCTAGAGATCTATTTTTTTTTTTTTTGCTATTGGATTATAATGTATGTCATTTGTATGCATTCATTTTCATGTCTGCTGGTTATCATGAGTTTATTCTGACTAATTTCAGCCACCTTAGTGACCTCACAGATTATGTTTGCGAGCTGCTTCCCTCTCTGTCTTTGACCTTAAACACATGCTGGCTCTCTTGACCTCTGTCTGCAACCTTTACCCAGCTCATGAATGCTCTGTAATGATCCTAATCCTCTGGACTGTGATTTCTTTTTAAAGTCATGTCATCATTTCAGAAGGTCAGGACCTTTTTCTGACAAAAGTTATAAATTGGCATAGTGATTAAACTTCTTTTATGAACTTTTGGACTTACCGGTTGCTGAAATTGTAATATATTTTATTAGAGTGACTTGAGTCTCGTTGAAAGTCTCGTGTTTGGAATCAATATGGATTTTATTTTGTAAATACTACAGTGACTAACACAATCTTGAGGACAAAATAAATGCCTTTTATAATATTCCTTGTGAAACATTAACTTAAATGTTAGTTGTTATAGGTAAGCTTTATTATGTGTAATATAATTTCACCTTCCTTGTAACTATATCAAATATTTAAAGGGACACTCCAAGCTTGCAAAACATAGACAACCATGGTATTTACTGAATGCTAGTAAATGATGATGAATTCCGCCATTAACCTAAAAAATGAACAAATGTTACACTAGAGTTTTCAAAATCTGATCCATAAACACCTTATACCATAATAGAATGCCCATGTCTATTTAATTTTGGAAGCTTAAAGGAGAAATGCATTAATTGATATCGTGTGTCTAAATAGGATTTTTAAGGACAACAGTTAAGTCGTCGCTTTCCTCACTGACCACTAGGGGTCGCTAATGATTCTCTATGTCTCCTGCTCCGATTTTACTATTCCTATCCACCCCGCCTCTGAGGATCTCTTACCTTGGAGGACCAACAGCTGCTCAGTGATCTATGGTTGAATTATAAAATCAATAAATAGGAAAAATCGCACATCAAGAATTGGGAGAGTAATGTGCCCCCAAGGGCCCAAATATATGTGAATACAACAGACCTTCTTCCAGAGAATTAGGATTAGGTATCAAGGATTTCTGGGATAGAATCCTGACTATTTTATTACCTACATCAACCGATAAGGAGTCAAAGAGAAGGATAGGGACATCCTGGTAATAGTCCCACTGCGCTACACATGCGAGCCACATGATTCTGGCTCTGTTCTTGTGAGTGATCTTATATAAAGTATTGCATAATTCATGTACAGACAATATTGCGCTATGTTTGCTTTTTCTGTGTTCTTAATATAAACATAAGCATTTATCAATCTCTACAGCTCTCCCTTAGTATCCACCTATGTATAATTTATAACGTTCATATTTGTTGTTTGCATTAAAAAAAACAAACAAAAAAAAAACCCTCCCATTCACTCACGATAGCCTCAGCATTATCTGTATTACTGCTCTAAAACACTCGTAATTGTACAGCGATATCTCACAAGTACAGCAGTACACCCCTATGTCCAGGTTATATGGTGTTTTGGAAAGTTACAGAGTCAAATATTATTATTTATAAAATATTTTACCAGGAAAGATACATTGAGATTTCTCTCATTTTCAAGTATGTCCTGGGTCCACAAATCATTGCATTGTTACATTAGGTACAACAAAATACAAAAACAATATTAATACACAATATATACAAAATTTAACATAGAACAGGCAGGAAATATATAATCAACCATGACACGTGCATTCTGTTTTGAGGTATGTAGAGAGGGATCTCTTAAATGACTTTAGGCTTAGGGAAGATTTTAAATTGTGCGGGAGGTCGTTCCACAATTGCGGTGCTCTGTAGGAGAAGGAGGAACAGGCGCTTTCTTTTTGTATTGAGGTAGACTAAGTAAAGTGCTTGTACTGGATCGGAGCTTATAAAAAGTGGGAACAGCTAGGGAAAGCATTTTGTTCAGGTAGGGTGGGAGTTTCCCAGAAAAGCTCTTAAAAACAAGGCTGGAAAGATGAAGGGTGCGTCTGGATTCCAGCGACAGCCAGTTTAGTTCCTTTAGCATGTCACAATGATGGGTCCTGTAATTACATTGTAGCACAAATCGGCAGAACGAGTTATACAATGTGTTGAGTTTATTAATGTGGGATTGCGATGCAGATGCATATACTACATCCCCATAATCAATGATTGGCATCAGCATTTGCTGTACAATCTTTTCCTTTACTGTAGGGCTTAGGCAGGCTTTGTTTCTGTACAGGGCACCTAATTTTGGATAAAGTTTAGATGCAAGCTTTTCTATGTGCAGGCCAAAAGATAGATTGGGGTCTAATATCATACCCAAGTATTTGAAAGAGTGGACTGCGGTCAGTGTGCCATTTGAATTTGTTTTGATGGATAGGTGGGGATTGTGTAATTTGTGTAATTTAGGTACCGTTCCAAAGATCATTGTGACAGTTTTGTCAGTGTTCAGGAAGAGTTTGTTTTTTGCGATCCACTTTTCTACCTCTGTAAACTGGTCTTGGAGCAAAGCCTCAAGTTGCGGTAGATTGGATTTGCTCGCATAGATTACCGTGTCATCTGCGTACATGTGTACATTTGAGGATTGGCAGACATTAGGCAGATCATTTATAAATAATGTAAATAGTAGGGGGCCGAGAATGGAACCCTGGGGAACACCACACGTGACTGGGAGAGGGAGGGAGTCACTGTCAGAAATGGACACATATTGCGAGCGATCCGATACATATGATCGAAACCAGTTTAAAGAACGATCACCAATACCTGAGTTTTTGAGTTTGTGCAGTAGAATGTCGTGGTCTACTGTGTCAAAGGCCTTAGCAAAATCAAGGAAAATAGCTCCAGTTAGGGCTCCTTGTTCCATGCCAGTTTGGATGTCATTGCAAACTTTTAGGAGGGCAGTTGTAGTGGAGTGATTCTGGCGAAAGCCCGATTGATCAGGGGTCAGATAGTTTACTTGTTGGTAGTACTCACAAAGTTGCGTATGGACACATTTTTCTAAGATTTTTGACAATACCGGGAGCAATGATATTGGGCGATAGTTAGAAACCAAAGTAGTGTCACCACTTTTATGGATAGGCACTACTCTCGCAGTCTTCCAAAGTTTGGGTATGTATCCAGACACCAAGGATTCGTTAATTAGAGTTGAGACGGGTTTAGCAATTGCCGGCGCACTGAGCTTCAACAGCATTGCTGGGATTTGATCAGGTCCGGACTGGTTTTTCATTTTTAGATTATTAAGATGTTTTTTAATGACACTAACAGGTACAGGTCTAAAATTAAACTTATCTATATTGGGCCTTTGCAAATTTATTGGGGCCTGATCCACATTTGTAGTTTCAGGATGCGTGTCATTTATTAGCTTGGCAATCAGGGCAGTAGAGCATCCGACAAAATAATTGTTAAAGGCATTTGCTACATCTAAGGGAAGTTGCAGGGTTTGGTTACCCACTTTGACAGTGGAGGGTTGGGAGTGGATTGGGGGAGTTTGTAGTTTATTTATGACTTTCCAAAAGTTTCTAGGGTTTGAGATGTTACTGTTCAGATTTTCATTGAAATATTGGGCCTTGGCCAGTTTTGTCTGTTTTGTGCATATATTTTGCCATTGTCTATATGCACCATGATCATTCATTGAGCCAGTACGCTTAAACTTTGACCACAAAGAATCCCGAAACTGGTACATTTGGATGAGGTCAGCTGTGATCCAGTTCATATGCGCTCCTTTTACCCTCACCTTACGCAGCGGGGCATGCAAATTCCAAATTTGTAGGAGTTCAGACTGAAAGTATTCAACAGCACAGTCTAGATCTGGGATAATGTTTAATCTGTGCCATGAGAGATTCTTGATGTCATTTAAAAAGGATTCAAGATTAAATTTTTTGAAGGACCTAGTTATTTTAACCTTGGGAGAGGATTTAGTAGCCTTTATTTTGCGCACGCAGTACACTAAACAGTGATCACTGAATGTGTTTGGGAGAACACCAACCTCCTGGATTATATCAGGAGAAGTGGAGAGAA